GAATTGTTAAGAATAATGTGGAGAGGCGTATGCCAAAAAATCTTGGTGAGCTGGAGAGATTTATGGTGGAAGAGTGGGATAGAATCCCGGAGAGTATGTTAATTAATTTGGTAGCATCAATGAAACGACGTTGTGAGCTTATTATTGAAATGAATGGAGAACGAATCCCTTATTAGTTATTATCAAATAAATTTGGTTGTTTTTATCTTTCAAATGAACCATTATTTATAAAAATTGGCTAACCAGTTGAGGAGCAATGACAAAATAAAAATATCCGTTTTTTTTTGTTACACACTGTATATTTGGTTGCAAATAGCCGATATGGTAAAAATGTGTTATATCAGTTTTAAGTATACACAGCAGCTCGATAAGCCGATATTTGTAGGATGGAACAATTTGTTCGGCTTACCAAACTTTTTGTTTTATCAAATTCGCATAAGTCGAATTTATACGCATGTTTACCCAAATTTTCGGCTTATAGTTCAACACAATAAAGTTTATTAATAATGTTGTACTTTAGTTGGGGATTTGTCTCAGTTCTGGACCGAGACAGCTGAGTTCTAGACTGGATGTCTGGGTTCGGAACTGTAACATCTTTTGTTAAATTGCTAGTGGTTAAGTTTTTTTTCTAATTTTCCTGCTTGAAAATTATGAGCTTTTGTTTTTGAAAAATAATTGCTATCTAACCAAGTTTGTGTATTTATCATAGTAATTAATTTTTACTTTTTTTATTTCTTTAATCCGTTTCTAGGAAAAAAACACTGACAACAATTTAGAATACTCGTCCTGGCGTCCTATAATGCCCTAGAATTTTGCCTATTTTTCTTCTAGTCCCTTACTTTTTGCTTTTTATTTTATTAGACACTAAGAGATTAAGACGCCAACTAGGACAATTTGTAATAAATAATACAGTCCCCGGCGAAAAGAATGGCAGAGACAATCGTTTTTATTTACCTAATATGTCAGGCATAATTAAAAATTCCCTTGTCTATACATTTGCATTTAATAACCTCAGCGAAATTTGGATTGACCATAAACTTATAATAACAGTCTCAAATCTACTATACAATGGTAAGATATATCTGGTAACAATATTGGAAACCCATTTTCATAAATAAGCGAGTGGGAAAATTATGAACAAGACTAAAGTATTAGCAAGCCTCAACCTGATTACAATAGCATCATAAAGACATGAATTGGATTATGTTTGCCATCCAGAAACGTTCCTCAGTAAAGTTGGCATAGTCAATAGTAGTGACTTTTTACAGTAGATATGCTGGCTGTGCCATTTTTTTCAGCTATTGCCACCAACTAGCTTTAATATTGAAATACTCGCTACTCTGTGGTATATACTAATACAACAAGAAAATTTTTCAGGAAAGAAAATTTATTATTATGTTTGAGACTAGTTAAATTCAGAAATTCAAAAAGTTGCAGCTATTTCAGTCAGAAAGTTATATCCATTCTGAACTGACATTTAACAATACTATATTTGGAAAAAAGCAGCAAAATAAAAATGTGCATCTCAAGTTAATTCCAGTTTTTCCAGTTTTAATTAATATTACAAATCGGGGAATTTGGTCTCTGTTCTTAGGTTCCTATGGGACTAGTTTTCTTCAACAATTCTATCTGCATTCTGACCATTGACACTTCACTGCTATTATTAGAGTGCATAAATAACAATCTTTATTTTTTAAGAAATTTCTGGGTTTCAGCTTCCTTATGAAGTCAAGCAGGTCTCCCCGCTTTCTCTAGTTAATCAACATAACTTTTGGGAGTGTGGCTTTGGATAACTGCTTGATATAATAATTAGTATGTTAAACTCCAAGATAATGTTTGGCCTACATAATTTTATCTAACATAGCTACTGCTCTGAGAGGAGGTGCTTTTCCCGAAGAAGATCTTCCATAGCAGCTTTGTGATTATGAAGTGCAATGTAGAATATAGGAATTACGCAAAGGAAACTTTGCCACATCGACACGTTGACAAGTTGTACAACTGTGTTGAGAAATAGCCTATTCTTCTCTCAATATTTATATTCATTTAGCATAATAAATAGTTCGCAAATGTCAAATGTACCCATCAATTATTCGGCTTTGCAATGACGCACACACATATATATGTTGAATCTCGCTAGCAAAGAGTAAAGCTTGTAGATTTGAATAAATCCTATGGACTGATCTCTTGCTCTTTAGTTATCAATAAATAAGACTTATTTTATGTCAGTTCCGCTTAAGTACCTTTGACATGATAGAAGAAAGATGTTCAGTAATATTTTCGATGATGCTTATAATTGATAGATAGTTTATGCGACCTTTTTCTAGAAAATTCATCCTTTTTCAGCATCGATTATTGTCAAACTGATTAGCGTAGACTAAGTACTCCTGATCATAAACTTGCATTTGGTAATTTCCATCTGCAGTATGCATCTCCTTGAGAGTCAACATATTTGTCATGTAAACTATATGCAAGTGCGCTTATGAAATATGTCTACCTTTGATGACATTTTTACCCGAGCGAAAGTTATATGTAGTACCGCAAAAAACCCCTTAGTACAGAGCCTCATCCTAGAACAGAGTGATACAATGCGGGTAAGAATATTTGGTGAATACTATTTAATAATTACATTCAACTTAAAGGTCTTTTATCCGGCCAAAAGAACTATTACAGCTATGAAAGGATAACTTTATTGTTTAGATAAAGCTAATCATTCATATGACAATATTGCCAATTTCTCAACGCATCATTTGTATTATTTCGTAACACTGGAGATTTATATCTTTGAGATTGCAATTATTTGTGAAACTAGTAAAATCAACTTGTAACTCTAAACGGATGATAATTAAGCTTTTTCTTATTTATTAACATGTACGTTGAGTTTTCGAGTCCTTTATTGGTCACACTAACATGTACGTTGACTCTTGCTCCTATGACTATTATCTAGTATCGCTACTTTGCTGTTGCTGAAAGTCTTTCTCTTTGAGGCTGACAAGGAATTAGTTATCGGCAACGGAAGAATTTGTTATCTAGCAGACAAGATTTTTGCAACATTATGTGTACGTCACTGAAAGACTGTATTTCCTGATTTCAATTCACTGCATATTATTTTCATAACTCAGCCATGCTTGGCATGCCGCAAGATAAGGAACCAGCTAACAAAGAAAACAATGATGGAACTTGTGGATGGACAAACCTAATATTGTGTAGCAAATTGACCCCTCAAATTTAAAGCTTGAAATTTACATGTGTATTTATGTAATATTTGAGTTTATCAGTAAAATCTCACATCAATGACATAGAAATAAGCAAAAGATCGTAAAAGAAGTACCAATATGCCGATAAGTAATACAAAGGGATGACAAGCGTCTATTCAAAGAGGTATACTTTTATTATTTTAACGGTTGAGAGAAGAATAGGGACAAAAAAAAAAAAAAACAACAGGTGGAACGCGATACTACTTGCTTGTCAGCCGACCAATGGGAGGATTGATAAATCGAAAGAAAAAAAAAACGGTTTTCCCATTTTGAGAAAAGCCAATGTTGAAATCAGCGATTTACCAATACTAATACATGAAGATGCAAGATTACATTCGAGAAGCACAAGCCAGAGTCCGCTGAAGGAAGCGCTTGTTGCTTGTTGCCCATTAATAAATAAATACGATTATGGCAAACAAAATCTTTGTATAAGATGTGCGTTGATAATTTTAACCCTTGGACGCATATCATCTATGCCTACTTAAGAGAATAGTGTAAGACATTTCCACATTGTTATCCAACCTCACTTATTGTCCAAAGACCATTTATTAAATAATCATCGGACTAACTGACTACACTCATAACAGTCTTCTATAAAACTCTCTTACAATTGTTAGAAGAAATAAATGCCTATAAAATTTTTTTACAACTTTTGTAGACTTTTACAACTTTTTTTCCGTTAAAGTAAATGCATGCGATAACAGATAGATATAAGATATACATATGATAATCAATGATATCGATATGAATAGTTATAATCCACACAGAGAAAGAGAAGATCCAGTCAGTCTCTGTTGCTCAACTCCACTCAGCAATTGAAGTCCGAGGCTCATCTCTCATCCTCGTTACCAACATCTTTATTGAATCACGCAGTTACTTCCAGCAGGCCCATCATTGGGATTAGTTCCAGGCTTAGTAACAGTGCCAACGTTTGGGAAGGTGGTCGAAGCTGGCTTGAAGACGGGGGTATTCATGACCGTAGATTGAGGAGAGATGGATGAAATAGGAGCGATAGCGCGGACGCAATAAATAGACAAGGAGTGTAGTGGTTGAGTGGAAAAGTTGGAGCCGTGAGCGTAATATCTAACTACGCTCGACGTGAGATTGCAAGAAAAGTTTGAAGAAACGAGAAGACCGTGTCAAATTTCCCCGAGACTTGAGAGTTTCATGTTTGGCTGTTCGACAGGATTTTATACCACATTGTCATATGCCTTTTGGCTGAGTATGTTTACGTTCCGCCCAGCCCAAAAAAGTCAAGTGGTGATAACATTCTAAGGGTTAGTCCATTGAGTTTATCTCGCGTGACACATTAAACCGTTTTTGCACAATTCCAGGAAAGCCATCTTTTTGAACTAGCAAATTAGGAGATTAATATGTCTAATCGAATAACCAATACAAATTACTATTCATCGACAGTGTCGTGTTGCAAAAGATATTGTAAATCCTGATTTTGTCCTGAAATATGTGATATTCCTTAGTCAGCCCAAAGATTTTTGGACTTTTGTGCATGGGTACAAAAATACAGGGAAAGCATGAACGTTAATAAGAATGTATAAGCATTGCCTGGGCAGGTTATTATTATTGTACCAGTGATGCAAATGGACGAGTTTAATTTCCTGTCCTTATCGCTTGTATGGAAGCAGTAGTCAATGAGGACTTGTTTCGTGGATAACGAATGCTAAATATAACATAATTGCATGACATGCTTACTAGTTTGTGCTGTGCTTGTGTACCCTTGTTATTCTCTCACTTCACACATACTTTCGCTTCTTCTCATTCGATGGGTAACCCCGGAACAGTGTGCCAAGTCCGTCGTAGTACAACGGAGACTTGATAAGACAACATAGAACGAGATGCTTGGGTGATAAATGGAATGTCCGAAAGTCGGGGTTATAATCATAAATGGGAGGAAACGGACGTATGTATTGAATGCATTAAAATGTGATGGATTGGATAATCACATTTACTGGCAAAAAATTGAGGTATAAAATTCGACTGCGGATAATGAATTGGGTAATTATACCATTATCGTGATACGGATTATATATACAGTATATGTGTTGTATGTGTTGTGTGTGTTGTGTGTGTTGTGTGTGTTGTATGTTATGTGTGTTATATGTGTTATATGTGCTATATGTGTGTATATGTGTATATGTGTATATATGTATATATATATGTGTATGTGTGTGAATGTTTTAATATTAATGTAACCAATCGATTCGATCAACTTACATACGCCAATCCGCCATATCAATTAATCGACGACGACGACTAATCGTTCTTCAATCCTCCCCTCCCTCCCCTCTCGAAACTTTCAGCACCTTCGCACATCACCGATCAGGGACAGAGTGATGGAGTGATAACTAAGCAGATATCCATCTAATTCTAATTATCGCGCGTTTGCTGGTTGGTCATTCTCGCTTAGAAAATGGACATACATGACAATAGCAAATAATTGTAGTCAAAACATTCTAATTAGAATTAATAAACCAAAACATTTAATATTTATAATTTAAAGTTTATATACAATACCAAATATAATTGTTACTCATTCATGGTTATAATTATTAATCATATATCACCAACAATCACTATTGCACATTTGCAATAATGTCTCAATGTCATCTCTTTTCACAAGTCCGCCTCCGCCGACCAAGTCAATTTCGTGTCACAATAACGACCCTGCACTTGGTTTGGTCGTTGTGTGTGTTCAATTCTCAACTTATGCACTGCGTTTTTTTTTCCTCTTTTTACTTTCTCTTTTAAACTCTAATTTATTCATCTCTACTCCCATCCTCCTGTCTCCTGCGCGTGTTGCCGTTATAGTTGACTTGTGCATTCACATCGCAAACTGCACACTCACTACGACGAAATACAAGGCAAACACTGAGCAAGAGGACAACGTCACACTTGATACTTTTAACAATTTTAATACAGGCTAGTATAAATACTACTTAGTTGCTAACTATAATACACATTGAATATCCAACTACCCAAAAATACAAATACAAAACGAACAATATTCCAAAGAAAACCCCCCAAAAGACTATAAAATAATAAACTACAGCTGGCACTTACATATATACGCATCTCACACTACCTTTCCTATTCAAACTGTCCCACACCTTTTCCCTTTTTTCAGTTCCATCTACACAATGCACACACTCGACCTTGCCAACTTTCCTGTTACCGATACCTTGAAGATGCTGGCTTCTCTCCTAGCAAAAATGACCCAAGCAAACGACCAAATAAAATCTCGCGCACTCTCCCACTCAGATTCCTCTTCTACCGGTACTTCTTCACCTTCTTTCACGCGGTTTCATGCACGCTCAGTACCTTCGATCGACATATACTCTTATCTGGCTAGGATCTTGAAGTATTGTCCGACAACAAATGAGTGTTTTCTATCCTTGTTGGTATATTTTGATCGCATGTCAAAGAATGCCTTGGCTACAACAGGAAAGCCATTTTCAATAGACAGTTTTAATATCCATCGGCTGATAATTTCGGGAATTATGGTGTCGTCAAAGTTCTTTTCGGACGTCTTTTTTACCAATTCACGGTATGCCAAGGTATGTTTGTCTGCTAATACAAGAAATGGGTAATGGTGGTGTGTGGAGTCAAAGTTGTGAAAAAAAAGAATGGGTATTTAACGTTAAAACTCGAGGGATATTGAGATTTGAAAAGAATACAGTGGCTCTAGTCATTAAGAGTTCTGAATTAATATGATGGTTTGATAAGCCACTCTATGACAATCTATTCATTCAATTTTTATGTTTCGCTTCTACATAACTACGCTTTTGTCATACAAGTTTGCTAACGTATTTCAAACCATACCTTTGTTAAAAAGTACAACACACATAATATTTCATTCTATAGGAACTCTGCTCAGAATTAATTATGTTTTAATTGAATGTTTGGTTCGTCCATTCTTGTTAGCATCTTGTAAACGAATTTGACTTTTGACTCTCCAAATACGATTTTATGGGATTTGACTAATTTAATTCATCTTTTTCGTCATTCCTTTTTTTTCTTTTTTTTTCACATCTTTGATTCCAATCGCTTAATACTCAAATTTCATCTTTATGCTACAAAGAGATATAGTTTTTATTGTAAGTTGATAACGGAACATTCATTAACTTTCTCTTACAACTATCCGTTTTCTCATTTAGGTTGGAGGTCTGCCAGTATCAGAACTGAATCATCTGGAATTGGAGTTTCTCATATTAAATGAATTCCGATTATCCATAAGTGTAGAAGAACTCCAAAGATACGGAGATCAACTACTAAGACATTGGGTAATGGAAGAAGAAATGAGATCAAACGGAAGCATATACGATAGCGTGCGATTTGGTCCCAATAGTCCCAGCGGGAGATGGGAGTCACACGAAAATAACTCTATAAGTAAAAGATCACGACGTCTCCCGTCGAGTGACGACACCAACACAAGCAAAGGCGGTGGTCCTAAAGCAATAAAAGAAGAGGACCAAGACAATCACCCCCACCACTACTCGCGAACTCATCGTAGAGATAGCAGCCTTTCCTCAGCAAAATCATTGAACATTTCATCCTATAACACACCATTAACATCATCCCCCACATCTTTTGCATCACCCAACAGAAAAACAATACCGTCGTCAGGTCGCGCTCACTCAACATCTCCCAACTCTTCGACAGCTCATCTAAATGGCACATCTCAAGCGATAACTAACGGGTCTCCAATGCGAGGTCCATACCCGTCTACCGCATTCAATACACACCACATGCACTACCCTAACGTACATAAAGCTTACGCTTCTGCGCACCATCATAATGCACAACATCAACGCTCAGTTAGTTTAGAATCTACAATTAAGCGTGCAAGTAGCAGTGGCTCGTTACTTAATCTCAATCGATCACGAAGCGGTGATCTCGCGGACGACTTGCAACAGTATCATCATCAATCATCTCCAAAGCAGATAAACCCCGAAGATGTTGCTTACCGAACTGCTGCACCGCCATTTCCAAATGCGCCTCTACCACAAGTAACAACGACTAGTGCATTGAACGTCTCTAACCCCAAATATGCAAATAGCACTGGAAATCTCTCGAATGGTGCCTCACATAATATCTCTTCAATGATACGAAGAATGTCGCATGATTCTCCTGTAAATAGCTTTCAACAAATACCCAACTCATATCACTACTCGAACTATCCCCCACAACCGAACGCAAATTCAACTCAACCAACCACATCAATGTCAACATTCCCGCCTAGTTTACCAGGCATATCATTTAATCCTGCAACTGTAGCTGCAGCAGCACATAATGCGGCAGCGGCAGCATTGTCATATGCACGACGTGCATCATTGGCGTTACCACCATTGCCGTCATTGCCGAGGCATCCATTGAGTGGATTTCATAGTTCTGCCATCCCATCTCCAGTTTCGCCCTTGGCCCCTGGTGGGAACGAAGGACTAGGCGGGAGGAGAGGAAGTATTTCTACGTGGAGTGGAAGTGGGAGTAGCGGGACTGTTGTAGCTAACGGGTTGGGTAATGGATTCTCTGGATTACCTAATGGAGGGATATCGCCGAACGCATCTAATGGTATTCCATCTCACCACAATTCGAACAGTAGTCAGGCAATTCCAATTCCCGCTTCTACAGCTTCTTTGCCTTCCACAACAACGTCTCTTCTCAATGGCCATGCTATATCTCATCTCCATCCTTCTTCGTCCTCTCTTAATGGCATAACGAGCATAATTTCATCTTCTCCAAACACACCCAATACTCATCCCGCTCGCCGTGGCAGCTGGGCTGTGGTTACAAACTCTACTCCATTGAATACAACTCATCATGGTCACTATAGTACTCCGTTGACTTCTGTTAATGGACACCATACGCACCCGGGCGTGCATCATAGCCATTCTATGGGAAGTTTGAATGTGAATTATCAAGCTTATCCCTTAGACAGGACCATTCAGCCGACGACGGTGACTGGGAATGGAATTAACAATGTAAGTTCTAGAGAAGATGGTGCGAATTTGGTGAGGGATGCGACTTTGAAGATGAAGAAGGGATCAGTAAGTGCGGTTGTTGGAAGTGGAATCAATAAGAATGCCTCGCTGGTCGAGATGGAAAGAAATAAAGACGGGAAAAGTGAGAGAAATGGTGTTAATGGCGTAAAGGTCGGTGCGAAGGAAATCAAATGAATGTGGATCAAAAAAGTTAGAGTTTGCAACATGGAATGCGATGAATCGATGAAGTACGCAAAGGTGTGTTGTGATGGATCCCAGATGGCACCCAGATGGCACCCAAATGGGATCCTCGGATAGGATTTCCAAGATGAACGTGGCGCTTGTTTGATAGTCGCGTGCTGTTTGATTATGGATGGCTGTTTGGATTCCTTCTTCATATATCATATTATATTACTTTGTCTGTTATAAAATTGGCTACACCTATTCTATGGGGGAAGGAAGGAACGATTTGAGGGTGTGGTTATCGAATTATTGAATGCATCCATGTTATTATCATTATATCTTATCCTTTGTTATCGTTTATTATTTGAGGCATTGGTAACTGTTTCTTGATCTAAGGACTTGTATTTCGAATGGTTACTCTTTTTTTTTTCTTTGTTTGGTGTAAAAAATTTTTCTGTACTTTCTGATTGTTGTACGGCATGTTCACTTGCCGTCTGGTGTTTTGTTTTTTTTTGTTTTTTTTTTGCTTCTCAGGTGACGTTTGTTACATTATTAGTCAATTGATTGGGTAAACTCATATATTATCATTTATACACGTATTATACATATATATATATAAATATACACATATACATATTCTTCCCTTTTCCTCTTTTCTTGTATATCTTTTTACACCTTCCTTCCCTCAAAAAAAAAATTCTTAGTTGTTTGTTATTATATATACTCGGCAGCTGATTTTATTCTTTTTCTTTTTCCTTTTTTTTTTTCTGTATGTAATTATTTTTTATCTCGCACTAAAATATTGAAGTTTTCTTAGTACTCATTTTCTATATTCGTTTCATATATTATATAATATATATCAATAGTAAAACTGTGATTAAGGGATTTGCTAATGAATATTGTGTTAGCATGCGAATTGGGTTGGGTTGGGTTGGGGTTGGGGTTGGGGTTGGGGTTGGACTGTATTGGGTTGGACTGTATTGGGTTGGACTGTATTGGTTTGGGATAATGATAAGGTATGGATAGAGCGAAGCTTTGTCATTGCTTGTGGACATATGTTTACAATTACGAATATATTAGATAATACTAATACTCGCAAATTAATTTAAATGTTTGTGCAACACTAATACTCATTCGATAGTTAAAAAACATTACCATTCCTATTACTATTACTATTACTATTACTATTTACTACAGTACTATTATTACAGTATTACTATTCTATCAACTAACATTATGCTAATACTCTCTGTTCAACGGTATTGACTTGTCCTTTAAACAACAATAACCGTACAGCGTAGTATACGTCTCCATTTTAACAAACGTTGGTACATGTGCTTACTGATGCAAAGCGTGAGCATGTGACAACGTCCCCAATAATTATTTCTTTCTTTTCAACACTAAAAATATCTTATTATTACTAACACAGTAAGAATCAATCACATTGGGGATACAAGTCGGCTGGCCCGATTTATGAAATCACTTGAGTAGCACTATGCATACTATGTGACAGGAGAGTTTAACGTAATTAGAGTAATAATAGTTAGTGATTTGTTTGTTATTTTATCGTGGTACTGTGTTATTAATATTAATAAACTGTAAAGCACACTCATACGTGTTGCATAGCCTTTAGCCTTTAAAACTGCATTTACTCTATTGTTCATACTAGGGATAAGATTTTGGTATACATTTCTTCTTAAGTGGGCATTCTTGTCCTCAAGCTCACAGAAATTCGTTGTTTTAGTGAGAGATAGTTTGTGTATATTCAACCGAGACGTACAAATTTTATTATGCAATCGATTAGCAAATATACAATATAATTATTAATATTGTGTAGTCTTTATTAACACAAAGTTATTTTGCTCGTAAAAACCATATGACATTTATTTCTTTGTCTTTTCAATCGATTATTGACTTGTCAGGTGTTGATAGATTTGGCGTTGCCGTATGAATGTTCCGCTTTGCAAGTAATTTTATTTTTTGTTCGAACATGAATAATTACATAGTCATAGTCAACCTCGTTAATCCGAACCTCGTTAATCCGAACCTCGTTAATCCGAACCTCGTTAATATTAATCCGAAGATCTTTCTAAGAATCTCATCAGCTTATAAAACTTAATTCTCTCTTTGAATTTATTTTTTCATAATGAACCGTAAACCAAAAAGACAAAAAAAAAGAATTGAAGATTGCCGAGATAGATAATCATTTACTTGGAGAAACTGAGAGAATACCAACTGATGAAGACGTTATACACCAGAACTGTGTGGAGAATACGAGGATGAAAGCCCATTTTCGGTTGCATTAGTTAATGAAACATTGATAATATTTTAAGATTTACTGTATTAGACAAGAATATGTGACAAAATTCGACACCAATCACCGCCTTGTAGTCGATCTTAGAGAATGATTAAATTACTTGAAATACAATGTAAGTGACAATTACATCTTGACATTTTTTCGCACCTCAAAGCGAGACGACATAATCAGATGTTAGCAGGTGGAAGCGTGTAGAACCATTTTGTGTACGTTGTGATAATAATAACTAAACAATAATAACAATAAAGGCTTTGTTGTAAACCGAATAATTATTGAATTCAATAGCAAGTTCGGATTATTGAGAACAAACCTCGTTAATCCGAAGATGCTGTTAATCCGAACTTAAACCTCGGTCCCGTTGACTTTGGATTAACGAGGTTGACTATGTATTAGCGAAAGACAACAAATGTGTGAAGCATAATCTTCAAGTGGTACTCACAAAAAATCTCAGGCATGATATTATTGCGGGTATACGAAAACTTACATATTCACGCTTCTACAAAAATAAATATAAAGAGAAAAAAAGATACTTAGTTCAATTAACACCTTTGGATTATATAAATTTGGAATAACTTGTTTATAGAGTGCCACGGATTCCATCCGACCAGCGTTTTCATGTCTACGCGCACTACGAAGCTACCCGTCGGTTTTTGCACCACGGGAAAAACCTTCTCAACACTTCGGTTGCCGGACTAGCTATTGAGTACGCTGGCACTACCAATCGGCAAAATACTTTCCTTTATTTCGTACTGTAGTTATATAAGCAGGATTCATAGGGTCGAATATCTTCTTAAGCAATTTAACTCTTTCGTTAAAGCTTGGTGAGAAAGACGTTTACAAATTTGGCTCATTGTGCGATTGTTTGATCCAAAACATGTCCCAATCGTTTATATTTCCCCAAGTGCTCGGATCACGATCCCAATAATCTACTGAACAATGTTGTTTTTTTTTTTACTGTTCTGTTTGATAAGAATAGGAGTACTCCATAAACTCTTGCATATGACGCGTAATGAAAACCGCGACGGCATATCATATAATTGTTGCGGCTCCGGATGAAGTTTGATATGATTGGCTAATCAAATATATTTAGTAGTTTTATAAGGCTTACATATGCCGATCATTTTACTTCCAACTGCTACGGCTTTTGAAGGAAGCTCTTAATAACCATGGAACTACATGTCTTGACACATGCACGACAAATTATATAATAGGGTTTTTTGTCCACTACTAAAAAAAGTAAGAAAACCCCGTTTATTAAGAACCTTAAATATGCAAATGTCAAGAAAAGCGGAAGGTTGAGCCTACAATTTTATTGTAAGACATCAAATTATGTAGTTTTAATATGAGGTGCGCATCTTTTATTTGTCAAAGTAGTAGGGTTTTGAATTCATCGTATTTTGCTTTCGAACGAATGATGCCACAAATTGCACGGCTAAAAGGCATAATTATGTTATACTCGCTATGTTAATTGCTGTTTCCTAATGGAGATCATTAAAACATTGGTGAAATAATAACAGTTTTATTAATATTAATAATTATATGTGTTTGTTTATTTCGAACAACAAAACGTTGCTATCACAAGTTCTATGTATTTTTGAGGACAATATACAGATTTCGCTGCTTCCTCTCCAAAGTCTTCTAGATAGTCTTCTGCTGGAAGCATCAGATTTTGCAAAGGCAAGGAATTGGTTCAGAAAATTGTCTTCTTTAGTGCGACAAATAACCCAAAAGAATTTTTTCGTCCGTTTGAAAGATCTTCCTCTAAAAATTCGGCGTAACATATTTCCCGCCAACTTGGTTCGATTTCAAAGGATCGTCGAGCGCATTGAGAGTAAGGGGATGTGTCTATTACTCGCTTGATCAATATGACAATGCATTAGTTGATCTCAATAAAGCATTGGAGGTTGATCCAAATAACGCGTCTACATTGGAAGCAAGGGGAGAAGTCTATCGAATGCTTAAACAATATGACAATGCATTAGTCGATCTCAATAAATCGTTGGAGATTGAACCAAATAGTGCATTTGCATTGAGAGCAAGGGGTAATGTCTATCGAATGCTTAACCAATATGACAATGCATTAGTCGATCTCAATAAATCGTTGGAGATTGATCCAAATAGCGCATTTGCATTGGAAGTCTATCGAATGCTTCATAAAAATAACAAGTACGTCAATACCGAAAACAAGACAAATGCTTTGGACGATCTCAATAAATCAACAGGAAATTAAACTGCATTATATATAAGCTATAATATATTTATCAATTAGTATCTAGTTTGGAATAAAATAAAAATTTTGACTTATACTGTGTATGCACTTTTTGGATTGTAGTTATCTCAAATTGTGCCACGTCTACGAGCTATACGTAAAGACGTCAAACGTTAAGCGAATTAGTCGATATTTTTTAACTGCGCTACCAGATTCTAATTCTACCGAGATTATTACTATTCATATAAAGCACTTGTTATGTAAACTCTTTCTGACAATGTAGCTTGAATTCCTTGCACATAAAAATAACTTCGCCGCATTGGAATACTTTCAATGAGCGGTTTGCTGTCCTGATTCGTCTAAAATGAATACTGATAATAATAACGTCATCAGTAACACTTAATACTATGTTTATTTAAGTGATGCAAAAATTTCGTTTTGATAGATCAGCGGTTGCGTTTTTGATATACGTGTATCCGCAGTAAAGCCACGTTTTTACTAATACCCAGCATTTTTCGAATAAATCCAGAAGGCAAGTCATCTTCAGAAGGATAGTCAGCCAAACCACTTCATGTAGTAAGATGTATTATTATATCTGTTAGAACAAATATAAGCATAAGCTATTTATTAAATTATTTGTTTGTTGACTTATATATATTTGCTTTCTTTATTATTATGTATAATTAAGGATCTATTAGCTAGTAACAAACAAACACCGTTAACGGTCACCGTAGGTGCAGCCAATAAAGACCACAAATAACTTGTTTGAATAAAATATCTTTCTGCCTAATTTGCTTGATAAATATGTAAATAAAGCATAATACACAATTTCATATACAGTTGTGACGATGTAGAATTTGATTTTGTCGTGACGCGTAATACGAATTAGTGATTATGTAATATACGTACAACGTAGTTTTCGTTCACGTCTTTCCTCTGAAGACTTTTATTCGATTAAAGATAATTCGTTTTAAATTTTGACTTCACTTCGCTTGTTAAGAATGTCTTACGAAAATCAAATTATTTATAACAGTGACAATACTGTTTCGGTTCCTTTTGGCCAAGCAACCGAATGATATATTGTAAACCATCCTCTCTTGAGAAATGCACGATTGAAGTCCCAAGGTCGTTTACACGTTAATGCATCAATCCGTGAGGGATTTATTAAGTTACGTCGCGTTGAGGGAGCCACAGATTATATTGAATGGGAAACCCCAGGTATAATATTCGTATAGGTGTAGAAAAAGATAAATTATGTTGGTATTGGGTAATGTATTGTTATTAAGGTTAAATTTCAAATGACACAATGCAAGACGTTAGGGAATATGGTCTTGGTATGGTTTGCAAAAAAGGCCATGTTCAGTGTTCATAGGGATAAGAGACTTGGGATATCAAAAACGAACTATGGTTATACGTCTGACACCATGGATCAATTGATAATTAGCAACGGATAAACCTAAATTTGGTGTACTTGCCGATCTATGTACGTATCAAAAACGAAACCTTTGCTCAAATAATTCATCTATCGTTGCTTCAGCATTGTATGTTATTTTAATTTGCGGAATTTATGATTTGTCTTTAGACAAACTCGAACGCTTCTTGCTTCATTACACTCACAACTAATGTACCGTTCACACATGTCTAGCAACTTGTTGCTGCAGAATGAACGAATAAAGACACGACAACATTCTGATATTAATAGTGCAAATCACATGAAAAATCACGGGCGTGCGCTTGCATTTATATTTATGGTTGTTACACCGGAAATACTATAAAAAGGCAGGATATCAAATTATTATCCAATACGTCATCTACTCTACATGAACATATTCAAAGCCGCTACACGTCTCGTAAGTCGTACAGTAAAGTTCCATCCTATCTTTCGTACGATTTCCTTTATTTATGATTATTGTCTTTTTATAGAGTCGTCCATCATCGCTCTTTACACATTCTTTGTCGATAAAACCCTTTCGACAGAATACACTGGTATTCGTGAGACTACTTTCAGATTCACTAAGGGAGAACATTGACAGTATTGTAAAAAGTAAAGATGTGACTTTGTTCATGAAAGGAACTCCTGAAGAACCACAGGTTTGTCTCCGAAGCAATTAGGAAGTGTTTCTAGATCAATTTGTTCACTAACTTGGAACAATTTGTTTAGTGCGGGTTCAGTCGAGCAGTAGTTCAAATATTTCGTATTCAAGGTATGAACAGGACTGGAAGGACTTGCTTGATCCATTGTTTGGTTGCAGTAAGAATTGGTTTATATAATTTCCTTCCTTTTTCCTTTACAAAGGGCTTGACTTTAGTAAGCTCAGGACGGTTGATATATTACAAGATCAAAATCTTCGAGATGGCCTAAAAGAATATTCGTGAGTTTGTGGTTGAAAATCTTTGGAAAATTTTTTTCTTATCATTTCATTCTTATCTCCACTCTCTTTCCGCTATCATTTTAGATCATGGCTAACATTTCCCCAAGTTTACGTTAAAGGAGAATTTGTTGGTGGGTGTGATATAATGCTGAACATGCACCAGTCTGGGGAATTGGAAGAGCTGTTGGTGAAGGAGAAATTGGTCGCAAATCAACCAGAAGCAACAGTCGGGGAGACTAAAACTGAGCACCAAAAGGCTGGATAACAAGTCTTTTTTACTGTCAGTGATCGCAAAAGAGAGTGCGAATAAGCACTTTCAAAAAGTGAATGTGAATGTCTATATAAATGTGAACTTTCTTCTATTGATCTACTAATTTAATCAAGTCGATAACAGGTGACTTGAACATTTTATGCTCTAGATACAGTATTACAAACTTTCTAGTCAACTAGAAGATGAAAATATATGCAAGAGGAAAGGAATTAATTATTTTTTCTAAATTATCGATTATTTTGTGTAGTATTACATATTAAGAAAAATTATACAAGTGGGAACCAATGCCAAGTCCCGTGAGCCTTCTTGCTTTGACGAATCAAAGTCCGCTCAGCCCTCTATCACTGTTGCAAGGAGAAAATTGTAACCCTTCGCGAATTATAAACTTGTCCATTTCCATGATCAATTGCATAATTCAGCGGGACGATGGTGCTATGTTTACGTGGTGGTTGCGTATAAACTTTGGAGATCTTGACCTCTGACACGTCGACTTGGATCTTATTATTAATGACATTATCATACCGAGGGCAAGTACTCGCAGTCGTAATAGATATATCACTTTTACTGTCTTTAGCATCTGTACCATGTAAGATCGTGAAAAGGATATTGAAGAGCAAACCAAGACAAGCCATAATGGTGCCGCCTACGAATACCGAATGGAAGGCATGGGCAAAATTGTCAAGCATGATTTCGACGTATTTTGCAGGAAGGTTGCCAGTATCGTAGGTTATTAGGATTTGAGGCGACAACGCCAATATTTCCTCCTGTAGATTAAAACAGTGAGACGGGGTGTCAGAATAATGTTGGTATTATAAGCATTAAACTTAAATGTTGATAATCATCTTACAGCAGTTTTCGAATCAAGCTGGCGGAAATTGGCGTTTATTCTTGTTTGCAGAATGGCTGCAAAGGTTGTGATTCCAATAGCCACACCCGTTGTAGTTACGAACTGACACTAAAGCATGCAGGGTAATAACACATTGGTTAGTCCCGTACGCCAATAACAAGAGCGTTGAGTATCACAATGAAAGACATTACTCACCCAAGTGTTAGGAATCTTATAGTGCTTCTTGGCCACTTTTTGAGTAACGAGGAAGTTTGTATGTAGGATACATCCCATACCTATCGAAATTAGATTTATCAATCCGATGGTCTTCCAACCTTCACAACTCATTCACCAAACCATTAATCTCTTTTTTCACTTACCCAAACCTATTATTAACAAACACATGTACACTTCAAAGCCAAGTGTATATTGGTCCCATGCGGTTAAAATCCCGAATCCGATAACGTTAAAGATCCCGCCAATCACAAGAAACTGCCCATACATGTTCAATCGTTTTACTAACGCCGCTGAAGCGACGCTCGTAATGACAAAACCTATTAGCAGTACAAATGCGTTCAATCCAATAACTGACGCAGGGGCGTGTTGTATGATTAGGCAACAAAGCGGAATATATGCCACTAGCGCAAAAGCTATTCCGGTGAACAAAGCGCATGCAGACGCGACAAGTATTTCTTTATCCCAGAATTCCCAAGGAATCAATGGATTGGTTGCTTTCTTCTCCATATAGATAAAGATTATTAGGAATATTGCTGACGAGATGAACAGTACGGCAACATCCCCACTATACTCTTGTGTTTGATTATTTTCAGCAATAAATGCAAGTGCTAAAAGAAAACATATCACAGAGGATAATTGGGCAATCATCTCCAGATAGTTAACAGATGTGAGGTCATCAAGGAAGGGTTTGGGCTCATATGGGGGGTGCATGAGCAACACCAAAGCACTTAGGAGAAAGATGCCCATAGCGACGTTCGCGTAAAATGCCCAGTGCCAAGAATCATTTATGAAAAGTATTCCCAATATTGGACCTATTAATGTTGTCTGATCAGTTTTGTTGGGATTAGTGATGGTTATGAGTAGTAAACAGTTGCATTTCTAGTTCTGTCTTACCGATCCATATACGATTGTGATGATCGCGCTGTACTTTATTCCCTTTTTAATGTCGAACACTATGATCCTAGTTATGCACAACATACCACCTCCGCCGAGACCTTGTATTATTCTAAACGCAATAAGCATAGACATGTTTGTTGCTGCGCCAGCGCCAAGCGAGCCAAACAAGAAGGTGGCCATTGCAAATAACATGATGGTCTTTCGAGCTGAATATAATCATGGTTAATAATTTGTAAATACCGTACGGTACAATTTTTAAGCGGTTTAACTTACCAAATATGTCGGAAAACTTTCCACAAATAGGTTGAAATGCGCCTATCGCGAAAGTATGTGTTAACATGCGAAATACCTTATATTAAATATGTCGATTACATAATATACAAATAATATACTCACAAAACGTAAGAAGGTAAGCAGTTACAGGCTACATTGGTTTTAGTTGAGGTAAAAATTAATATCTCAAGATATTACATGTACATGTGATGATCAACTAACTAACTAGTACTTACCCATCGGTATGACTCTAAATTATTGAACGACGATGCAATTTCACTCGATACTGGCAGGCCGGCAGTTACTTCAATCGATGCCAAGAATACAGTAAGACTCATCCTAAGCGGAAAAGTAAGTTCATGAGTCCTTTAATTACCACCAAACTCTCATACACTACATTCTCTACTCCACTCCCTTACCCGTTTACCCTATACTCACACAATAAGCAAAGCAATTTTCTCGTTTTTCGATAAATCCCGATTGAATTTTTCAATCGTTTGTCCATTAACGTTATCTGCCGATGTAGAGTTTCTCAAACTATGCTTAGAGTCTGTCTTTGCGCTATCTTGGGAATCACGATTATTGTTGAGTAATGTTGGATAGGGTGCTATTAAACTGGTCCAACTTTTGCCTTTATCGTCATAACTATGATTGTCTATGGAAATACGAAAGCTCGAGCTAATATTGGAGTCTCCCTTTGAACTATGCTGGGAATGGCGGTTGTCACTAGCTGTGCTTTGAACCGGGGTTGGGTTTGAATCGACCCAACTGCCTCTGTTTTTGTCTTTGCGATTTTCCTCTGCTGACATGAGAGCGTTTATTGTTGTTGTCAAGTATGCTCGGAATTATTGTAATACAGTTTTTGATGTATGTATCTCAGTATCTTTTGCTAAGCAATAATTAAAATGAGAAATAGGAAATTATTGTTGCTCTACTCCAATATTTTTGTGCTTTCGTCTCAGTTTTCAAGAACAAGTCTAAAAGAATGGAAGCAGGGAATTGTTTTTAAGTTGGGTTTGACAACGGCCTTCTCAATTACATGATTTTATCTTTTTATTTAAATAATCGTCGAAACTAAACTGCGTGAACCGATTGCGCATTTTTAGTAATCCGAATTTTCTTGATCGCGATTACCGTGCTTTATTTAGCACGGGGTCTCTTTAACCGCTTGTTTTGCTTAGCAAAATGTCCCATATGATGACAATTGCATCTCACCAGAGTTAGCGCGTCATTAAGTTGGTGTTAGTCGCATTGATACAAAACTTGTTATATTACTGAGTATTATTTTGATTAACGACATGTAGTACAACAGTTCACATAGTGATCAGCAAAACACGAATCGATAATATTTCCCATTTAATCTTTTATAATGTCCTTCACGTGGATGCTTTAGAAAACACATTGATCTGGTGCATTGTTCATAATTAAATCTAATTTTCATGTACTTGATTTTTCTACTAAATGTATTGACAACTTTTTAATACATACGACGGAAATGATTAATAAAAAAAACTAATTAACTAAATTCTCGATGGTTACTACGTAAGCATTTGATTCAAACGTACATGGCAAATACTATTACTTTGCTCCACTAAATTAAACACTTTGCGTTTTCCAATAACAATAAGATGTTATACAAGGGACAGAGACGGACTTACTTTTACTACAACTTGTTGTTTCCTGATTTATATTATCCGTTATTGGATTTTTAATGTGAGTTGCACAACACCAAATATGTAATTTGTAGCGTTATGATTGAAAAAACAATTGGCCTGAAATGGTTACAAATTCATTAACGTCTGCGATCGATTGTACACAACCCGTATGCTTGCTTAGAGCAGAGGGCACAAATTACCATGCGCTCAACATTTGGTAAAAGTGAAATAGTGAAACTCAAGCAAGGCATTCGTTAAATAATGGATTATAGCTAAAATAAACGTATTACTTGTTACGGTTGTTGTCTCAATAACAATTCGATTTGACAATAAATTAACGTTATTATTATTATTATGTATTATGGTCAGATTTAAAAAGTGTCAACTACAGTAGTATACAGCAAGTTCGGTTTAACGAAGATGTCTTATACAAAGTTTTTTGAACCGTTTCATTAGAAATAAAGTCCGGTTTAACGAATAGTCCGAATTAACAAAGTCAGGCGATGGATCGGGTCACTTTGTTAAAACGGACTTTACTATGTATAAATAGTACGACTATTGTAATTACTGCCAATAGAAGGAAGACATAAAGTTGCATGCATGGATGGATGAATGTTTGGTAGCAAACAAACAAGTCTACTGATAGTATTGAAGCCCTTGTTATCGTTCAAGTTCACAACACCTGCAATAATCGGTTTTGCTTAATTTGGGTATTCCTATTTCTGAATTCTTCCACTTTCGTAAACTTATGCAGTTAGTTTTTCTCTCCTGTATCAGAAATGACATAAAATTCCTGTTACCAATCGAATGATCGATCAGCAAATCCGCACGTGGTTGGTAGCCGTTACTTAGTTGGTTAATGATTAATGATGGAAAAACTTAAACTTTATTTATAAACTAATTCCGTGAAAGTTCCAAATATAGAATGGACTTGTGGCATCGGCAATTATATGACCGATGCATTTGACAAACACTACTCTCGCGTAATGCAAATGGGATTAAGGCATATCTTTTGGAATTCTCGGGACAATGCTCGGGTTATAATGATTTCTAGGGTCAAATTACGAGATAAACATTAAATTTCGATTATCCAATAAATTTTATTGTTACTTTAATAATTAGACATCGAACTATTTAATCGATAATAACATACTCACTAACATTAAACTTCTATCTAACTCGCTAATTTATTTTTTTTTTGTTTTTTATCTTTTTTTTTGGCAAGTGTCTTTTTTCCAAACAATAAACAGTCTGTTTTAATGAGATGTGTTTAATAATATTGTTTTTATAATTAAGGGTTCGTTTGTCATGCTCATTAATTAGGTCTGTTCCCACTATTTTGAATATTTCCAACACCATTGCCGTTGTTGCCGTTGCCAGTGATCACTCCGTTTGTGGTGAAAGTATCAGCACCAGCGTTGCCAAGCCTGTTCCCACTACCTTGAATATTTCCAACACCGTTACCATTGTTGCCGCTACCAGTGATGCTTCCGTTTGTGGTGAAGGTGTCACGCTTGTTAGGAGGTACGTTACCGCTATTTTGAATACTTCCAACATTGTTGCCGTTGTTGCCGTTACCAGTTATCCTTCCGTTTGTGGTGAAAGTATCGGCACCAGCGTTTCCAAGCCTGTTACCACTATTTTGAATATTTCCAACACCGTTACCATTGTTGCCGTTACCAGTGATGCTTCCGTTTGTGGTGAAGGTGTTACGCTTGTTAGGTCTGTTACCACTATTTTGAATATTTCCAACATCGTTGCCGTTGTTGCCGCTACCAGTTATCCTTCCGTTTGTGGTGAAGGTATCGCGCTTGTTAGGTCTGTTACCACTATTTTGAATATTTCCAACGCCGTTTCCGTTGTTGCCGTTGCCAGTGATCATTCCGTTTGTGGTGAAAGTATCGGCACCAACGTTGCTACCTCTGTTTCCACTACCTTGAATATTTCCAACACCGTTACCATTGTTGCCGTTACCAGTGATGCTTCCGCCTGTGGTGAAGGTGTCACGCTTGTTAGGTCTGTTACCACTATTTTGAATATTTCCAACGCCGTTGCCGTTGTTGCCGTTGCCAGTGATCATTCCGTTTGTGGTGAAAGTATCGGCACCAGCGTTGCCAACCCTGTTCCCACTATCTTGAATATTTCCAACACCGTTACCATTGTTGCCGCTACCAGTAATGCTTCCGCCTGTGGTGAAGGTGTTACGCTTGTTAGGTCTGTTACCACTATTTTGAATATTTCCAACACCGTTGCCGTTGTTGCCGCTACCAGTTATCCTTCCGTTTGTGGTGAAGGTATCGCGTCTTTGAAGCGCTGTGGCATCGTTGACTACAGGTCTGGCAATGGTTGTTGCAGCTAGGATGGCTACGAGAGTGGAAATGCAGATAAGCTTCATGATGGATATGAGTGAATGGGATTAGGAGAATTGGGGTAATTAGGCTTTTAACTTGAATGTATAGGTAATGTTTTAATTATCTTTCGATTTCCTGATGTTGTCCATCTCCAATTTCTCTGCCTGCTTATATACACCTTTGGGAAAGATAAAAATAAAACCACTCGCCACAGAACCGCAAGCGACTGGCATATTGTTTTAGTAATTGATTATAATACGGTTTAATGCACATAGCCCCCAATCTAGAGGGACGTGTGCTTATTTTGGTATATGGCTGTTTGTTCTGACTTGCTTAACTGAGGAAAGCGTTGGACATATTTTTAGAAGTGACATGAAGTTTACCATATTTGTTTAAATAACCTTTGCAGAGCACAAACGGTTAGATTCGGTCTAATTATAGTCCAACATTTTCAGATAAGGCTGTGAGAAATAAAGGTAAAAGCACCCAATAAGCTCCATTCGTTCCTATTACAAGTTGATGGCAAAGTACATTATTATTGGGGGAACTTTAAATATTACGTACATCTGATTTAAATTGCCATAGCGTCATCGTAGCATATTTTTGGTCATTAGTCATCAAGTCAAAAAACCCCGTTTCTTCCCGCACAACGCCAGATACGCGCTATATTATACCGTTTCACAAATCGCATATGATTGCCTTCTTTGGTGAGTCAAAATAAATACATAGCGGCCAACAATATAAAAAGTAGTGTGTAAGGCTGAAATTCGAAGAGAATTCTCATTGGTTGAATTTGACGGGATTTCATGGCAAATTCGATGCTTGCCCAGAATATACTATCGAAATATTACAAACTCGCGTTAACGCTTGAACTAAAAATAAGCTCAAGATGGATTTGATACGTTATTTCTTGAGAATTGTCAAATAGTACATAGTAGGAAACTAATATGCCCCAAATTATCATATGATACGAACCCGCTTTACATATTTTTAATTACAGCTCTAGATCATTCGAACTTTATTTAGCTAACTGACTGTTCCACGTTTTCTTTTTTCTATACATTTGTCAGGTTTTGGTTATGCTCCAACTTTTCTATCTAATCCGTCATATAAAATTTCAATTGCTTAAGATCAAGAAACATTGATAGAACTGTTCTATTTCCGTGCTATAGTTGAGTTATTTGAATGGTCTAGAACGCTTGCCATCCCTGAAAATAACCGTTTGCATCCAAATTTCTTTTTTTGTAATCTTCAATATGCTACCTCATAGCTACTTTAAAAACCCGCACCATAATCCTCTCTGAACTTCACACGATAAGGCGTAAACGTGATATATCGAACTAACTGCGCCGCATCACACATGTGAGAATAAATGTCAATAACTAATAATAGACAACAATATGCGTCACACAAAAGATGGATCGCATCTTATCAGTCACTAATCAATTCCATTAAACACATTGTGATTGTTACAGTATTCTACTACTTTCATCATACTGTTTGATTTGAATTGTTGATTTTGAAACCTATACTTGACTGTCTTCAATTTATTAACAAACGTACGAGTTACTTACTACTAGTAATCAACAAACGTACGTGCATACATTAAATCGAACAATCTAAAGTTCAACTTCTCTATGCAATACTTTCCGGTTGTTGAACAGAGTTTTCCTGCGGTAATATCTTAGAAATCAAGCCTTTGAGGATTGCAGAACGTAAACTTACCGAAACTCTGATCGATTCATCCTACGTTCATTGATTAATAACTTGAACGATTAGAGTTTACGTTTATTCTTCGTGATTGCACATAACTAATATGATGTTATATTTGTGTTACTGTTCTGTTGTACCTCAGTTCGGGACTTGTCCGACTGAAATGACTGAGTTCTGGTCCGAGACAACAGAAATGTCTGAGTTCTGGACTGAGACAACTGAGTTCCGGACTGAGATGACTGAGTTCTAGATTGAGATGGTCCCGAACTGAGGTACAACATTACCATGTAATCAATACCGTTATAATTTGTTGTGAAGAAAACCAAGAGATTAAGTCTCTTAGTAAAGAAGGGATTAAGTGACGGAGGTCATGAGCTAATAAAGTCACTTTTTTTTACCTTTACCATAATACCCCCGCTCATTTTATGAGGCCTCTTTGGGTGAGCTTCCCTTTGATGATCGCATTGATTGTCAAGTGATGACTTTTTTGCGTGATGAGAGGTAATACGGTGATAAAGTCTTGAGGATAGCAAAATAAATTTCGAGTATTTAACATGCCATGTATCTAATGTATTAGATTCATATGTATAAGTGTCAGTGACGAATCATAAATGCGATAAATTCAATAGTGTTTCCCCAAAGATAAGACATTTGCTTTGTTATTAACCTTCTGGTTTCCCTACTCATGATACGTTCTTCCAGAGCCTGGAAACATATTATACAGATTAAGCTTCAACTTTTGTTGTGCGCCTAACAAACTTGAAATTAAAGTTTAAAATCACGTTATACGATTAAGTCTCGAGTATTAAATCATATTCTATCGTCAGAACCTTAGCACCGTCTGAAGGATGAAAGGTGAGGTTGATTTACGATTGCTCTTGACTTACCAACATGTGTTTCGTCGCAGGTCACCTGATGCTGCGACAATTGTGACGTTTTTCATCATGAGGCATAGCTATACTCATCTTGGAAAATTTATTGCCGGTAATAATTTTGATAAGTGAATGTATTTGTAGAGTTCTTCTCCCAACTTGAACGCTTCAACTTTTCTACGAGACTTTGCCAATCTGTCAAATGGGCCAATACATCTTTGCCTTTGGTCATTCCCCTCTTCCCATCCTCTGATAATTTACTAAGCTCTCTCCTCGTCACCTTACAAATTATGCTATCAACTTTGAATACAAACGTTGACTGCTACCCAATAAGTTGTCATTATCAGCTCATGCTCTTGCTAACTATGTTTATAGGCTGCACACGGTGGACTCGATTGTTCCCAACGAGGATTTTTCGATACTATAGTGCTCCTAATGCTTAGCCTTCACCTTGCCTTCGTGCAACGAAACATCGATTTAATAGTTTTTCCTTTAGTAAATTCTTCTCCGTATAGATAGTCATTCTGATCTATTGGTAATTGTTAGAACATAAATTACATGGTTTAGATTTGCAATAGTCGTGTTATCAACATGCCAAGTAGATCGTGATTAACACATCATATGTCTATTGGCGAGTAAAATAATAATATTTTTATTTTAAGTTTCATTTCAGGAAAGGTGTGATCAACTCAAATTAAAGTAATCTAACAAGACAGCCTATCAATGATATAGTAAATTTATGTTCGATTAAGGGACTGCTTATTTTTGACATTGCACTGATTAAATATTATACAAACAGCACTACAAGCACAATTATCCGGTCAGTCGACAAGTCTAGACAATAATAACAACAGTCACTGAGCCATAAAAGTTGATAACTCAGTATTCGAATAGGCAAGTGACATATAAATGATTGTATATAATTAGGAAGCCTTTTGTGTACGTCATCCTTGGATATTTGCAAAACTTGGCTGATATATCAAGCAAGAAGTATATTTATGTGTTGTTCTTCTTTCATCTTATTATAGTACAGAAGGAAGCATCCGAAATGCGAAAGGTGTTTCTTAAATGTCCTTATAAATCGAACATCCGATTCGTTTTCTTTGTTGAGGTGGTTGTAAGTCTAACCTCCAATCGGAAGTTCACAAAAAGGATTCAATAGCGAAAGCATACATTTATTTCAACAAATCGGCGACTTAAAAAATCATGATCATGATATTTCATCGAATGACCATTCCTCTTCCAATTTGAATGTAGTTGTTTCAATCCTTGTGATTCATAACAAGTGACTGGCACTGACTGATGAAAATCAATAACAGACTATTTTTAGACTTACTATATGGCTAACATTCAAAATGAATGTACAGTATTTCAAATTATACAATGTCTTACATACAACTTCTTTTAACTTCGCCAAGGCAGCGTGTTTGTGCTTACAGATAAGATTAGTTCGTATGCGGTTCTAACTATTGCATAATTCTTTGCGCAACACAGTAGCCGATCGGATTGAAAAGAGTCTTTGCGAATTGCGAGATAACTGCAATGGATCAAATCACGCAAACAGGTCTTTGTAAACTTGACAATATTATCCTGCCCGAAATGTACTGCAAATTAAGAGCGAGTGAATTGATAGAAAAGCTGCTAATCTTGAGAGAGCATAATTCCGTTGTGTGCAATCCGACGATGGATTGAAGAAATGGGTGAAGTTAATGTTAGTGACAGTGTCAAAGATGATATTGCAATAAATTATAGGTTCCACCAGAGTGACTTAACCAGTTATACTCTTTAATAGCTTGGATTCATGGTATTTGTTTGCGCAAATGCCAGGCAAGACTAAAAGTCCGTAGATTATAACTATAGTTATACCAGATTGTTGATTACGACATCCTTCTAAAGACAAAAAACGTAGATCCGTTTAACCTTTCAATCTCTCTTATTATTATATTACTGATTCGCTTTAATTAACTTGATGTCAATGGATATTGATCGACATTATGAAACATAATAATAAAATGCGAATTCGTGTCACTTGCTGATTAGTGACCCCTGAAAATACGTTGTGGCACTTTGTATACTTTGCATGGTTTGGCCTTTTTTTTTTCTTTTTTTTTCACCTTTTCAAAAAGTTGAGCTTTTTCAGTCAATTCAATCATGCAAGATTCTCCATGGAAGCACTCGATCGTTTACGACTATTTGCTATTGGTAATGCAATAGTAATAGTAAAAGAACAGAATATACAACATTTTCACTATTGTTTCAAATTAAACCTCATATCCTGTCCATCATTTTTACATTGTTACTTGTCATTTGTGTAAATATAATGTTTTAATTTCTTAGAATCAATTGAGTCATACACGATTCTTCTAACTGCGTAGTTTTGGTCTACTCGTTCTTAAAATTACTTCACGATTACGGCGTACGAATGCGCGGTGATAATATTAAAATTTTGCAGCACGCACACGACAAAATTGGTGCTAATTACAATGGGATTCGTGCACAAAGACTATTTATTTCGTCCAAAAAAAGGAATATCGTTATCAGCCAATTTAGGGACAATGGGAAACGGGGATTAAAGTTACATGTGATTGCAGTCATGTGATAGCCAATAGTAATAGGTAAAACAATATGTCAATACAGTCTGTGGGTGACATGCTGACATGCGTTATATATATTGATATATATTCTTTGAAATCTACTCGTAAAAAATCATTATTTCGTTCGTAATTGTTTATTAATCAAGTTGCATGCTGTGCATTCGATATGCTATTTTGCTCTTCCAAAAACTCCTCCCGGATACAGCCGTGTCCAATGACTTGCAGTGAGTGTCTGTCATTTATTTAACTTAGATTGTGAGATGGGAAATAGAATGATGATCGCATCAACATAGCTAGTGTAAATAGTATAAATAATAATATAAATATGTATCCTTGTCGCACAATACAAACAATCAATCGTTAATCGTTAATCGTCAATAACAATACTCTATCAGTGACTGACTATGGTTATAGTCAAGCACTCATTGTTACTTCATCAACCTCCATTTTTAAAATATGAACCCTATTTCGTCAATCTCTAATCTCTCTTTTTCTCTGTCCAGCAAAGCCCCATTTATCATATCAACGCTACTACTACTACTACTACTCGGAACATTTAGCCCAATTCTCCCTCCCGTTCAATTTCTGCATAAACAACTTCTGCATCCCAACTGACACCGATTGCCAAATTTCCTCGCATCCACTACAAATTATTGTTGTGTACACTCACGGCCCTTTTTTATCATTAACATACTCTTCACAATAATCTTATTCTTCTTGTTAACTACCCAGTATCAATCACTTTCGTCCAATTCTCGTTACATACTTATTACATACTCATAATATTCTGATACACACATTACCCTACCGCTCACGAACTCGTTTCGTTTCTCCGACACCCAACTTGTATACATGCACTCTTACAAAATGGACCAACCACCTCCTTCGTCGCAGAAAAGAACGCTTCTTGAAGACAACATACCTGATATATCCACAGGCGGTGCACCAGATCACCAGTCCAAGCGGATCAGAATTACCCTCCCACCGCCCGTATCGCTGATATCGCCCACCCAACAGGGTAATGCTACGTTGAATTCTTTATATTCATTACCACTTCCGACACCTGCTCCACCCCAACAATTGCCAGCCCCCGTAGTATTGCCTCCGTTGAGTGCAACAGTTTCAACAATGTTAACATCCCCGATATCCAGCCAGAAATTAGCGCATCAGACAAGAGAACTTCCGCCGATAGAATCACTTGCACCACCTCCTTTGGGTCTTCAACAACCGCCGCCGCTGCCGCCACCCCCACCACCTCCTCCACCTCAAGCTACGTCCACTACTTCGATTAACAGAATGTCAGTCAAATCAATACTAACATCCCCCGATTTGCAACCATTCAAAACGATGTCATCACCGTCCGTGTCCCAACTTCCACCTTCCTTTCCACTACAACAACCACTCTCTCAGTCAGAGTCATTCGGATCATTCTCACCTCCTCCCACGTTAAATTTGCCCAACGGACATAGAGAACCACAGGTAATTGTTGAGAACGATGAGTCTTTGAACATGGATGGGATTCAAGAGAGAAGATTAGGTAAGTGCAATATGTGCTGCGGAGCTGGTCTCGCAATATAAATGTGTGATGACAATAAACAAAGCATTCACGACCTGAACATAAGCCATCACCCGTAGCGCTAATAATTACTCATAAAGGATCTCCCTTCTCATTTCAATTCAGGTTACGTAATATACAGTCCCAAGGAAATTCTCCCACCTCTGGAATTCAAAGAAAATGGTCTTCTCGAAGTTTGGATTCCATCAATGCATCTAACGTGGGACAACCAAAAAGTACGGAAGCGAGAACTTTGGGGAACTGATATTTATACTGATGATTCAGATGTGGTTGCTGGTACGTTTTGTTGTGTTAATGATTTTTATTCACAGTATTGCGCATAATCGATAGATCACACGGCGAATGTCATTTCTCTCATATACCAATACCATCCTTTTCTCTCTCTCGATTCCATACAATCCTCAAGCCTTAATACATACAGGCAAATACGTTCCAAAGACGTCAAATTACCCAGATTCGTTCGACTACCCAGACCACGATCTATGCGTCACTGTACGAGTGATGCCCAAATTAATGCGCTATCACGGTAGTATGCGACATAAAATGCTAAGCAGATCGTGGGGAAATCATCATGGGGGAAGTTACAAAATCGAGAATATACAGGAAATGAAGGTGGGTCGTGATGAAAAAACGATATCAACCTTTACCCGAATGATTTTCCGAGGTTTAATCTAACTCTGCCTTCGTTGCCATTTTTTTGCCTTTTTATTATTCGATCACATACTCCTTTATCCCTAATCACTCGAACAGAAAGGAGAATCATTGGGGCGATCTCGTTGGCACGGTCGAAAAGAAAGGTTACGAAAATACCTGCAGATGCGTAAGAAAGTTCTCGGCGACCAGTCAGAAAAAGTTTTTGCATTTAATAGCGAGAGCGATCCTTGGTGAGTGTGAGGGTTAAAAAGAGGAATTTTGGGAACGAGTCATGTTGTTGTGGTGTTGTGGTGTTGTGGTGTTGGCAATGGCAGAACATGGATATGAAAATATAATACTTATTTTATTTTTTTTTGTGTAGTCTTAAATATAACAAAGATTTGATGTCGGACCCGGATGAATTAAAAGAACGATTAAAAGATGAAGTCGCGATTCTTGAGAATGACTACGAACGGTAGGCACATTATTAAACCGTCGTCATATAATAGCCATACTATCTTCCATCAGTGTTTCACTCGCGCCCACATATCTTCTCTTTCAATTCTAATTAGCTACGAACTTTCTTACGACTCGCAAACTTTAAAGTACCGCTTCGCCGTCATATCATCACACGTTCATCTCAGTTCATCAGGCTGCTATCGGTCCAACAGCAACGGCATTTCTAATTCGGATATTCCGTCGCTGCCATTGGACAGCTCGAGCGTAGACGAAACGATATCGGATAACTTGGAGATACGCGATTTAGATTGGAATCCGGTTGGGTTGGTTATTAGAATTCCGTCTGGAGAGGGACAGTGTGTAGGAACGAATGGGATTGGAAGTGGGAACGGGCATGTGAACGGAAATGGAAATGCGAATGGAAGTGTTCAAGCAAGAAGCATGTTGGTTGTCGTTAAACTAGTGTATTGGAGAAAGAGGACGAGATGAAAAGCCACAAGCGATGTGAAAAAAAAAAGTTGGGCAATCAATTTTCTCTATTAGAATGAATTTGTTGATATATTTCTCTGAATGGCATTCTCGTTATCACTAATTGTGAGCACGGTTAGTCCAAATTGACATGAACATTGGTTGTATTACTATTATTTGTTGTATGCCGAATAAGAATAATTGCTGTTGATTTGCAAGTTGCATGTTTGGATGCATTTCTGTTTTTAATTGTCTCTACAAAATAGGACAGAATCTGATGGTGGGAAATACTTTATGATTAATGATGATTTGATTGCTGTATTCGCATAGATCTGTAATAAATGAAGCGAGTTAAAATTGTAATGACTTTGGTAACTGACCTATGATTGGTACTTGATGAAGTGTGATAATATCAGCTGTATGTAAATTGCTTTACTATTGGTTGAAATGTGAAATAGTAGGTAATAACACTCCCACTCCTATAATACCTATACCTCCTCTTCCATTACATCTCCAAAATCTATAGCTACCCTCTTTTCTACCTTAGTTGTGGGATCTTATAACCCTCCCTCATTTATTGCACGCCTGTCTTTAAAATGAGCTTTAACATGTATATGTAGTTCAGCAATAAAGTTATACTTATTGAAATAGTAATAACACCCAAATCAACAAGTTTCGGGATTAGCGTGTTTTCCCAATTTGTTAAATTTTCTGAATGTTTGACCAATGCGCTTACTGCATCTCAAAATGCATGAATGGTTTCAAATAATACACATTGTTGCAGTGCAGAACTCGTGTTGAAGTTACAACAGCCCTGACTAAATTATTTGCTAATCGGCAAACCTTTAAAAGGCTATGCAATGTATTGTTCAAAAAGACATTACCAATGTTGCATCACAAACCTTTCCAATCGAGCGTTCCACCGATATATTGGTACATAAGGGTCTATTACCACTATGAACTTAATATGCTCGATTTGGTTATACTTGCACATGATACTGCAGTAAACTATAAACAGAAATTTGTGCTTTGACATGAGACGGAGAGAAAGCACAACTTTGAATTAGCGTGATGACCCTTTAGCTTTTTGACAATAGGTATGTATGTTTGGGTCAATAAGCTGTTCTTCATAGAGTCTCTGATAAACTTTGAATTTTCCAAGATTGAGTCTTACGATCCATTCTATGTCGCGCGTGTTAGTCTATTCGAGCATATATTATTCTGGATAGTTACACAAGCCTATTATGAAGTGTCATATATTACGATAACATAGTAATAGTAATAGCGATAGTATTGTTACGCGATTTGTAGGAAGGCATGTGACTTTATTTGGCGTTCAGCCAGACATTACACAATAGCTTATTATACAAATTTGGCAAAGCATCTCTCTAACCCTTCGATGGCTCGATACCATATTTGGTTAGAAATAGAAGCAGCAACGACATTCCCTTTGCCAAGTAACAACGTTTCGATATCTGGCGAATAAATTTTGTTCGCCGCTGACCCGTATTAGCCAATTACTGTAAGCATTTTTTTGCGAGTGCTTGTTGTGGTTTGAATTTGCTTTTATTTAGTGTTACTTTTATTATTATAGACCCTTTAACTATACAGGGTGTCTCATATTACAAACGCGAATTTCTGCGCATCAATTATAATTGGTCATACTCTGTGTGCAATAAATAGCAGATTCAAATCCTCCGCAATCTTTTTTTCTAATTCACCGGATTTTTCTTTAACAGATCATTTTTATCTTCCTCTCTCTAAAAATTTTGATTAATACGTGTCTCTAGCCTTCCTGACGTCTCTAAAATACTTCAGACGTAAACCCGCGAGTTGGATAAGTTTTTTGAATGTGTGTTCAGAAGAACCATTCGAGCACAAGATAGTGAAAGATCTCAATATCATTTTTAAAAGTAAACAGGAAATTAGATCTAAAAAGAGCAGAATCTTTTCTCGATAAATCAGCAAAAAAAAAAGTATATTTTTATATATGCATAAACATATGTAATTACGTTCACTTAACTGTTGTATCTTTATCGTCAATGCAATATCCCGTCTTTCCTTGGATTCTACTAGTGAAAAGGTCTTTATTTTAAGGCGATGATGTCAATCGTTCTCATTCATCTATACTAAATTGTCTGCTCCCCATCTTAGTTAGCCCGAAACGTTCCGTGACTTCTACAAGAGCGTCAGGGTGCGATTATGTCATTATGTCTGTATATTACCATGACTTTACCAAATTTACGTGTAGAGGAATTCCAAATTAGATATCGCTCATGGGATCCAACAATCAATGGAACGACCGCGGCCTTCCACTATGGCACCCATTACTTATCTGCGATGATCGTTTGTTCTTATTTAATACGACTTGAACCATTTACACAACAGTATCTTAAGCTCCAGGTAAGTTTAATAATAAAATTGTAACTTTGTTGACATGCTTAGCGATAACGATTTACCATACTTTCTAATTTACCCCCGAGAGGAATGTTTTTCTTTAATAGGTTTCGCAAATAGTCTAACCTTTTATTTTCGTTATAGGGCGGGACATTTTGACCATGCGGATCGATTATTCCATTCGATTGGCAAGCATGGTTATCAATTAATTCTAGAATTCTTTTATCTTCCAGAGTTTCTAGGGAACACGAATAAGTTCAACTTTGGCAATGATACAGTGAATACGGAGACGTCGCTTACTTAAAATTTTGTGCATTAGGTGTTAAACAAGCAGGTGGAGAAGTTATTGATTCGGTGATTCTTCCGTCATCGGCGAAAGGAGATCCACGAGTATTTATTCATAAACACCGTAAGGTAGCTAATATTTCACACTTTTTCGTTTTCTTGTGAGATAAATACACTGCCAGACAAGCATAGATCAGTATTTTACGCAATCATTATGTGAAACTAATAAAGTAGAATACAACATATCGTTATTTAATGGTATTACATGATTTACTCCCTAAATGAAATTTTCGGAGGGCGTCGATCCATACGTTATGGATTCTTGATGACGTCAAACACAATTCGTATAGTATACTATAATTCGTACTCGAAAGATGCACACTATTAAGAGCTGGTATCGAATTATGCTTATGCCGGACTTGCGGCAATTGCCACTTAAAGTCTGATTTAAGAATATTGGATTAGTTGTTGAAAGAGCAAATATGAGGACAGAGTTATCGGTTTGGAATCTAACAGCTAATAGAATCAAACCCGTAACAATAATTAATGTTATCTTAATAAAACTGCAGCCAAACTGCATTAGAAAAAATCGTGGCACATAAAAATAGAATAGGTGTTAAAAACTAGATACATCAAAAAGTATAATGAGAATAGCTATTTGCCCATCGCGAAGACAGGAATTATTCGACTTTGATCGATTTATTACTTGATCAACAAGATTATATAATACTTAATCTAATTTAAACTCACCCTAAAGCGTGGAATAGAGATGTCTCTTCGTTAATAAAGACAGATGTGAGCCATAATAATAATTCAAAAAAAACAAACAAACCAAAAGTTACCGTAACGAAAGATTGAAATCACATGAAAAGTCTTCAGCGTGTGACAGCTAATGTAATAATAATAATAATAACCCAAAACAAAACGCGGTCATCGAAATAAATGATACAAATACGGTAGAGTTGCTCTAAAAATTATATTTTCGGTAAATAAACAGCGATTGTCTATAAGGATTAAAGATAAAAATATGAGAAAATTCTCATAAAAGACGCATCTTAATATAGCTCTTTCGAATATAAATACAAATAATCGTTAATTGTTGTTCTAATAATAGTTTATTATTGTTTGCTGTTTGCTGGCTATCGCTTAAAAGGAAGCTTAGAGTAACATCTAGCTGTGTTGAGCGGTTGTCGTGGCGTCTCAGACCAAACCAGGAAAGAATAGATTATTCTTATTAGTTTAGTTCAAATACTCGAGTTTGAGTTTATGTACCAGATATTAATATAGGAAACCCCGCTCAGATGTTAACCGCGTATTAGAGCTAATACTAATTGACAATATCTTCCCTAGTCACTGATGCTCGCTTAGTGTTGAATGAATGAATAGTGGAGTTATATTCACATTCTTTGTTATATTGTTTTACTGCATTATTCCGAATTTGGAATGACGTAATGATTTTCTTTTGAGGTGGACATACATTCTAATATAATGCAACAAGTAAAAAGCTAATTTTATACGTTGAAAACGCTAACTCGTATTGGTAAACCAGATATTATAATTTTGTCACCTGACCATCCAAACCCCTAATACTAATACTAACAAACAGATCTACAAACTAATCCGTTCGCACGAAAAATATCATCATTGGCGTACTCACAAATACGCCAATCGGAAAACCCTATACTCTCGGCATTTGTCTTTAACCTTAATAGTCGACCGACCACAATGCGTGTATTAGACCATATAGAACTCGAAAGACTTAAAAGTGCTAACTCTCCGATCCTCGAAATCACACCTTGTAACCTATCTGAATGACCAGCAAAGATCCTGTAAAGTCGCGATTCATCGAAGCAGATCTAGATACCAACCCCGAAGTCTCAGACAATGCCTTGGAGCAACAACAAGACGAATGGGGCTGGTCTGACGACGAGGACGATCTTGATATGAAACGGTCGGCAACAATTCGTTCGATGACCGATGAAAACTTGAAATATTTGAACACGAATGTGGAGACGGGTTTGAATGATCTAGAAGTTAAAGGGAGGCAAAAAATCTTTGGCAAGGTTTGAACATGCTTTGATATGAAGAGGGGAATTATTATCATAGTAATTAAATAACGGGAATTCCAAGTCGAAAAAAACGGATATGGAACGCGATTCAAGTGAAATTGGGCTAAGCATTCAAGTTGTTGTTCTTGTAGAACATGTTGAAAGAGGAGATAGAAAGTCCATGGAAAAAGATCGCGTCGTATTTCTGGGGACCAAGTGGGTATCAGTTGCAGTTGCACTTGGCATTTCCCGTCGTGTCGATCGATCGAACGATAATGATATTTATGTTTCTTGATATTAGTTCAAGCTATGATTGAAATTGCAGCTATTCTTGCTGCCGCGTTGAGAAAATGTAAGTTGAAAAACCAAAACTTGATCCGATTGCATTACCAGCATGATAAATTTTGGAATGGCTTCAGAAACCTCAATTAAATATTTTAATTCTCCCTAAATATAGGGGTAAGATTTTCGCAGATTCTTGTTTATCTTAGTCACAAGTTACTTTACTCCATAATTTCGTTCTCTACGTTATTTATTCGACGCAGGTGGATATGGTGAGCGAAAATGTGCATTTTGCGTTCCGTCTATTTCCCCATGCTCCTTCCTCAGTTAAACATATCCATTGACATATAACGTTTAGGGGGTCATCATCGGGTTATTAGTTCTCAACGCAATAGTAGGATTTTTGCAAGAAAAGCAGGCTGGTGATGCTATCAAGGAACTAACAAAGGAACTCGCACTCAAAGCGAGAGTAAAGAGAAATGGAAAAATTGTGGAAATTGACGCGACCGGTAAGTGTAAGAATGCATTTATTTGGAAGCACGAGGAATTGACTTTTGAATAATGGTCAAAAAATGGTGTAGAATTAGTCGTTGGCGATATCATTCATTTAGCTGAAGGAGATGTGGTAAGTAGTTAAGCATTAAACGTGGTTATATAATTACTGTATTTTATTATTTAACCGATTTGATATTCATTTCATCATTTAGGTGCCAGCTGATACCAAAGTGGTAGGCCAGGGCGCGTTTGTTCAAGTGGACCAATCTTCCATAACTGGTAAATACAAGATGATAATGGATAATATAAATTGTATATGTCCCGATTTTCACAAATTCGTCATGTTATTATCCGCGACGATATTACCCTAGGTGAATCCCTACCTGTTCGTAAAGGTGAAAATGACATTCTCTATTCCAGTTCGGCCATAAAACGCGGAGAGGTTACTGCTATAGTGGTGTCGATTGGTGACCAAACTTACATTGGACATGCGGCAGCGCTTGTTCAGAGTACAAAACGTGTCGGACACTTTTCGGCAGTACTAAATAAAATGGGGAAAGGGCTAATATTCGGAGCTTATATATGTATCTTTATAGTCGTCATAGCTAGTTTCTTTCGCGGAGCAGACTTTTCTACGATATTTGCATTTGTAGCAGGTTTAGTAGTAGTTGCTGTCCCTATTGCATTACCAGCTGTGATTACGACTACTTTAGCCGTTGGTGCCACCCAGTTGGCTAGGAAGCATGCCATTGTGCGCGAATTGGGAGCCATTGAGAGCTTGGCAGCCGTCGACGTGCTTTGTACGGATAAGGTATGCGTGAATGGCAATGTGTTATTCGTACAATATTTAAGGCAGAAAATAATTTCTAATCGTTAGTTGTATAGACAGGAACGCTTACAATGAACAAACTGAAAGTAGCACACCAATTCATTATGGAGGGTACTACTACCGAAGTGCTTTTTACCGTTGCTGCCTTAGCCTCACAGAGAACGCGTAAGGGAATAGACGCAATCGATAAATCTATAATGAAGCATATCTACGCCCATCATAGACACATTTTTCCTATTATTGACAGCTATAAAGTTGTAGAGTTTAATCCATTTGATCCAGTATCAAAAAGGTATTGTTTGATTATCAACGTTATAATGGATAGTATCGATTATAACGTCCGTGCATTTCTATATTGTTAGAATTCTCGTAAAATTAGAGAAAGACGGTAAAGAATACATGGCCACTAAAGGCGCCCCTCAGGTAATCCTCCAGATGGCACAAGAAGACTCTCAGATTGACGAACGACATCTCGACGACTACAACAATGCTGTGAATGAATTTGCCAAACGAGGTTTTCGTTCCATTGGAGTCGCATTCAAGGAACCAGACTCAAAATGGCAAATAATTGGTATAATCTCTTTATTCGACCCCCCTCGTTATGATACCAAGGAGACTCTTGCACAGGCCGTTACCCTCGGATTGAAAGTCAAGATGTTAACTGGAGATCAATTAGCTATTGCCAAAGAGACAGCTCGACAATTGAGACTGGGGTTGAACATATATGATAGTACGAAATTAGGTTTAGGTTCTAGAGAGAAAGACGATCAGCAGCCGTCAGCGAGTGAACTGGAAGAATTTGCAGAAAATGCTGATGGATTTGCACAGGTGTAAGTTTGTATTTCACTTGCTAAAACAAGAATGGTGCCAAAAGTGTGGGCTGACGTGTTTAAGCCGTCCATCCGTGCAGATTTCCTGACCACAAGTACAAAGTAGTCGATATTCTGCAAAAAAGGAAACACATTGTTGCAATGACTGGTGATGGAGTTAACGATGCCCCATCACTAAAGAAGGCTGATGTTGGTATTGCTGTCAAAGATGCTTCTAACGCAGCCAGAGTAGCGGCCAGTATCGTTTTCATGGAAGCTGGATTGGGTGTAATTATTGACGGTTAGTATTAATAGGATCGTATTTGAATGGTAGATATTTGTATCGAAAGAGCAGCTAACAAGCATATTTCTTGTATCATGTGGGCAGCTATAAAAACTTCGCGGAGAATTTTTCATCGCATGGAAAGTTATGTTCAATTTAGAGTCGCTCTTTCGCTCCATGTCTTATTATGTAAGCGTCACCACATGCTAATATTTCGCATTGATCAAAGTGTATAACTGGTAGTTTCAATTTACAGATTTGACAACAGCCATTATCATCTTTGGTACATCACCTATAAACTTGACAATGATTGGTAAGTTAGCATTTTAGCGTAAACATCCGTCAAACCATTGCTAATGGACGCGTACTCTTGTGCAACAGTTTTTATTGCCATATTCAGTGACATATCTACTTTGGTAAGCACATGAAGAATTATCATCTCACATTCTTTCTAGTAAGCATTAACTCAAACTATCACAACCCTGCAATTTGGAGAAAACAGATGATTGCGTGAGTAGTTAGTAAAATGGTTTGTTTTGCACACGACTATTTTTCCTCAGTGCTGATAACATAATCCTGCAATCAGATATGATCGAGCGCCGTATTCACAAGTACCTGTCAAGTGGGATATGTCCTTGCTCCTTTTTCGTGCTTTCATACTTGGGATTTGTCTCGCTATCGGGACGTGGATTATTCACGCAGTTACTCTGGTAGACCCTGAATACATGGGGAATACGACAGCGGCCGCTTTTTTAGGTAGTACATAATTAAGTGCAAATAAGCAATCCGTGTACATGAATCTCACGTTCTTTTATTTATATTCAGAGGTTGCTTTAACCCAAAATTGGACAATCCTCAGTACTCGCACAGGTGGAGGCTTCTGGCGTTTTCTTCCCGGCTGGCAGCTGGTCTTGGCCATTCTAACTGTTGACATTGTGGCTTCAATCATGGTTCTTTTTCGAACGTTCGTTGATCCCATAAGTATCTTGGCCGTTGTTCGAATCTGGCTATACTGCCTTGGTGTGTTTTTATTTGTAGATTTTTGCAATATGATATTGACGAAAAGCAGGAGTTTGGGGAACGTCTGGAGCTCTAAAAGAGGGAAAGATAAGGCACTATTGAAGCCATTGGAAGATCGTGTATTTGTACTTGCCAAGATCAGCGATATGCATGAAGTTGCGTCCAACAGTTGGAAAGGAAAGGATAAAAAGGGACATGATGAGGAGAAGGAGATCGAGTGAGCGAGCGAATGAGAATATTATGTAAACTTTTTCTAGGACGCGTAGTGGTGCAGATACTTGGTTTCTGGACCAACATGTCTAATATCAATGTTTCATGTGAATTTCGGAAATCAAAAAGCAGGGTTATAGTCTGCTTTCTTGCATCTACAAAAAGTTTGACAGATTAGCATAAATTTAAATATCTCTCTATTTATTATACTTAATAAATTTTATGTTTTCAGACACCCTCTAGTCGTGAACTACAAAACGGTAATACTTGTGGGATTGCTTTTTATTTAAAGTAATAAGTTGATGGAACGTCTATTCATTATAAATAAGTCAGTGATTGAGCAATAGTCTTATGAGGCCATAATCGTATATAATTTTTCGATTGCGTCAAATAAAGGTTAGCATAAATAAGTAGTACATTTATCTTAGCTATTTGTAAGCTTCGTGTCTTTTTACCTGCGCCGCATGATATCTTCTTTCTTTTCAGCATTCCAAATAATTAAAATAATTGCTCGGCGTTGTGGACATGCCCCAACATGAAAAATACCAAATTTTGTAAGAAAGCGTCTTGTCCTTGGTAAAATAATATAATTACATTGTTTCCACAAAACGTTGGTTGAATTTGGGGCACGTAGACTGGAGAGTTGTAGAATCAATATGAATCCCGATAATGCGATGGATCAAAAACGAGAATTATTACCATCACAATTATAGTCATAAAGTAGAAGACTTGTTATATGTATGTACTATATATGCGAGTTGCATATACGTATATATAATAGTAATGGACCCATTATATCTCCTTTTTCAAAATGACGTTTCGCTATAAAGATACGTACATTTGTCCATCTGCTACATTTAGTATATAAATGCTTCTACGCGATAGTATAAATCTTATCACGATACTATCGCAAATGCTTACTGTATATTAAAGACACGAGACTACTTAAATACAGTCCCCGGCGAAAATAATGGCAGTGACAATCGTTTTTAACGTTTTTATAAAAATTAAATACAAAAATTGGTTATCTGCTACTATAGTAATATGTAAATGTATTATTACTTTTCTTATTTACTTAATATACCGGCATAATTAAAAATACCCTTGTCTTTATATTGGCATTTTAATAATCTCAGTGAGATTTGGATTGACTATAAACTTATAATAACAGTCTCAAATCTCTATAAGATGTTCGTTTTTAGACTTGTTAATTAAATTTATTACAAGTCGAAAAATATAAATTTTGCCTGATATAGTCTAATCTATTAATGTAAAAAAGCTTTTACATTTGCTTCTTGTCAACTTACTCAAAATTTTATTCATAATATTAGGTTTAAATTAATAGAGATCTAAAAGGAAGCCACTTTTCATCTTTTTTAAAAAATAATAATACTGGCCGCCATTATTTTCGCTTGTAGCAATAGAATTTGGGCTTGCAAAACATACTGCTCGACGTGCATTTAAAAGCGATGGCCATCTAAATCGTCCAGATACTGCAGCTCAAAAGAAAGCTGTACGGGAATAAAGAAAAGCATGACAGATTTTACTGTACCGGCGATTTTGTGCTAATACTAATTTGATTTGCAATCCCTTCCTTTTGCCATCGCATCTATTCTAAATATGTTCTAGTTTATTATTCAAATTACGCTGTGTTACAAACCTTCGATACTAACAAACAAACACGTTATCGCTATGTTTGAGTCATTTCTCTTAATCTTTAGAAGAAAACGACCGAGAGCTCTGCCGATAGCAACTTGCGACCAAGGAGAGAAATTCTACGAGAACAATACCCGATATAGTTTTTTAATAGAATGAATCTATACTTAAAGAAAGAGCGACTAATCTTTGATTGGCGGATTGCGCAATTCTTCAATCGCTCTATGAATGAGTATGTGTGTTCACTACTGATTATTTATGCGGTGTCATTTATGATGATAAATACACTATTAAACACTATTTACCTATTACTATGTGCTTGCTATAATTGTCGCGTAGGTATTGTATTGTTGCCATAACTTCCAACTGCATTTGGATTTAGCACATTGTTCATTAACGACTTTACTGACAATGTTATCATTGTCCAGGAATAATGAATGGTTTTCTGTGAGATTAATTATCGATCATGTAAATGTATGTGTAAAGCTATTATCGCATATTAATTTTCTTCATCTCTTATAATACGTATTATACAATTTGACGCTTCTATCAAGATGCTCTCATTGAATAAAACGTTGAAAACTGACTGATATGTTGTCTATTGCATATATATACAGTATAATAAACTTCATGCCATTATTACAAATTACAAATTTTGGGGGTAACAGTTCAGGTCACATGAAATTCTTGGCGCATACACAATTATAATTGGTCGATACGAAATCCATGCATGTGGGAACTCGCTATACATTATAAAGTTATGGAGGCTTTGTTCGAGGCACAGAAGAACTTTTAGCAATAGACGATACTACGTCCAATTTCACTCATTCAGAAATTCGGTGTTTAATTTTACGGTCTATACTGAAGTGGGTAGAGAAGGATAACGTACAAGCAGTGCCTAGTGGATAGAGTTATTTATATATAAACAGAAATAGATATGGGTATTCCAAAGTTTTTCCGTTGGATGAGGTACGTGGATAATGTCTACTTGACCAGACAATGTGAATTGTGGAACGAATTCATATAGATGATTTTACAGCAGTTAATTAGCCGTTTGTGCAAATGCGTGTTTTTATATATACTTTCTAAACTTTGATACGATTTTTGTAGCGAGCGATATCCGCTCTGTAGTCAGCTAATTACGGAAAGTAGGTAAGTACAAGAATTCGCGGTTTTTTCTTGTTGGGCTTGGCTTGGGCCGAAAATTGTTCACATCATGTCGTGCAATGACCGCTAATGTTCACTTATGCGCTTTGTATAGAATTCCAGAATTCGGTGTGTGTTTGGTATTTGATTACACAAATCGAAACGCAATTGGTTTTACTCTCTTGTATTAACTTATTTTGATTTCGCTTATTGCATTGTAGACAATTTATACCTCGATATGAACGGTATCATTCATCAATGCTCTCACCCAAATGACGTGGATGCACATTATCGTATATCGGAAGAGAAGATCTTTATTGATATTTTTAACTATATCGATCATCTGTTTACTAAAATAAAACCAAAAAAACTATTCTTTATGGCCGTTGATGGTGATTATTCGAACACTGTTGGTCTATTGTACAATAATAGTTTTACTAATATAATTTGCGTAGGAGTGGCACCGCGGGCCAAGATGAATCAGCAACGCTCCCGACGGTTTAGAACCGCTAAAGAAGCTGCAGATGCCATTGAAAAGGCTAAAGCAAAAGGGGAGGAGTTACCTAAGGAGCCACCGTTTGATAGTAATTGTATTACGCCAGGTTGGAACAGAAATAAACTAGATAATTTATTTTGATATTGTGATTGTATTGCAAGTATATGACTAAATCTGCGCTATCACAGGCACGCTGTTTATGAAAAAATTGTCAATTCAACTCGAATACTTTGTACATAAGAAAGTTTCAGAGGATGCGAATTGGCGTGACGTGGAAGTGATATTATCAGGGCACGAAGTTCCCGGTGAGGGAGAGCACAAAATCATGGAATACATTCGAACGGCAAAGGCACAGCCCGATTACAACCCGAACGTAAGGCACTGCTTGTATGGGTTGGATGCGGATTTGATTATGCTTGGGCTATTAAGCCATGATCCACACTTTGCCCTCCTTAGAGAGGAGGTCACTTTTGGTCCAAGAAAGAGAAAGAAAGGGTCGGTGAAACTCAGAAAGGCATTCGGTTGATTATCGTGTTTGGCTTGAATATAACGAATTCATTTATTTATTATAGAGGAGTAGAATCACAAAGCTTTTATTTAATGCACATTTCTCTTCTGCGCGAGTACTTGGATCTCGAGTTTTCAGCCTTACGAGACCTTCTTCCGTTTGATTATGATTTCGAGAGAATAATCGACGACTTTGTCTTACTCGCGCTATTCATTGGAAATGATTTTGTACCACATTTACCTAAATTGCACATTGCAGAAGGGGCATTGGGTCTAATGTTTAAAGTATATAAACGAATTCTACCGGAAGCAGGTATGACCACTTGCACATTATCCGAAATATTCTCGATTGTTCATTTTCTAAAGGCAATTCATCCATCCTATAGGCGGGTACATTAATGACGGCGGCACTTTAAATATGGAGAGATTAGAACTTCTTTTTAAAGAATTATCGCAATTCGAGCGAGAAGTTTTTGAGAATGACCGCGATGATGCTAAGTGGTTCAAGGGAAAACGAAAACCTGTTCTAAGTGAAGCGGATGTAGAGACAACAAAAAAAGACAACGGATTTGGTACGAGGCTTTGTTTTTATACCTAATCCTGCTCTATCGGGTGTAGTATTCATATATCATCGCTGTCTCGTATCCAGAAATGACACCGAAGCAGCGCGAAATATATGAGCAAATAAAAAATTTTGTAACCTCCAAAGACCAAGATGCTCTTCACTTCCCCCCCGATTATCCGGCAAGAGACAGAAAGTTTATCCAAGATCTAGCCGCTGATTTGGGTATTCGTCACGCCATTGAATACCACGAAGTGAATAACGAAAAACATGTATACGTCGAATTTAATTCGGATAGTGAAGACGAAGATGACTCGCGGGAGGAAGTATGGAAGAAATATGAAGAAGCAGATATTGTAGACGAGTCACAAATAAATATCGAAGAAATTGAGAAGCAGAAATATGAAGAGAGGTTTGACAAATGGAAGAGGGACTATTATCTTACGAAGATGGACCTGGATTATGATGACAGTGAACAAATGTACCAACTTGTTCGCTCGTATATAGAAGGATTGCAGTGGGTACTTCACTACTATTATACTGGTGTTGCCTCGTGGGGATGGTTTTTCCGTTATCATTACGCGCCAAAGATTTCAGGCATGTTTGACAATATCCCGTTCGCTTTTTATATGTTTTCATTTTCCATAATATTGTACTGACGCAATGCTTCAAATATAGATCTTCAGGATCTGGACAGATTCAAAGATTTGAAGTTTGATCTTGGTACACCATTTAGACCATTTGAGCAGCTAATGGGAGTCCTACCCGAAGGCAGTAAAACGTTATTACCGACAATTATCCAGGTATTACTTCATCCACGTGTCTTTTTGTAATTAAATCGCTCTTGCTTACTAATAACGCGCTGTTTCGATATAGGATTTGATGGTCAATCCAAATTCACCAATTATAGACTTTTATCCGAAAGACTTTGATACAGACATGAACGGAAAGAAAGCGGATTGGGAAGCTGTTGTTAAAATTCCGTTCATAGATGAAAAGCGATTAATTAAAGCTTTGAAAGGTTTGTGATAAACAGTAATATATTTACACAATAGTTAACGTTTTTGGCGAAGGGTTATCAAACTAACCAATTGAATTGTAGAGAAAGAACACTTACTGACCGACGAAGAAAAGGAAAGAAACAGTTTCAAGGAAAGTCTGAGATTCGTCTTTGATGAAAACGTGTCAGGGAAGTATCCTTCGCCAACGCCAGGTCGATTCCCAGGTAGGCTCGTAGTTTCAATTAGTACAATTATGTGTGTATGAATGCACTTACCAACGCCTATAATTACAATAGAAATAAATATTCGATGTCGAGTCGAGACATATAACCTGCCTGTTGTCAAGAGCGTTGAATTTGTTAAAGGACTTTGTAACGGAGTACAGCTTGGAGCTAAAGCCATGGCCGGATTTCCATCTTTGGAGACTATCCCTCATAGTGGTGAAATTAAGAAACACGGTGTTAATGTCTTCAATTCCGAGAGCAGGTACATAATTCGACGAGGCGTCAAATCACAGTGTTAACCCGGATATATCATAACGCTTATCAAACTCTCATTTGCTTGTTGCAATTAATAATGCAGAAACGAGACGATTGTTATCACTCTATACAATGTGTATGAAAATGTAGAAACTAAAGCAATTGCCCAAGAAAAGGTTGGCAAGAGGATATTTGTTGGTAAGTTTAATATAATAATGTATATCAAGCAGTTACATAACGACATGAGTTACAAGACGATTTATCTCGCATTAGGCTGGCCATTTTTGCAAGAAGGTCTCGTGAATGCTATATCAGATTCAAATTTCCGATACGAGTTGTCTACTCAAGCAGACGGAACAACCGAAATCATTGAGAAAAAACATAGACCAGATGTTGCTGACCACTGGAAAAGGAGAGGGGCCAAGCTGGAACACGAATATAGCAAAAGAAGAGGGACTATTATTGGAAGTGTTAACGTATTGGTTCATGTGAGAATGCTGAAAGGTGCGAAGATTGTCATGTTTATCTGATATAGTGTGTTTATAATTCACTCATCTCTGCGGAATACATAGGTCTGAAGCACAAGGATGATGGATCTCTAGTTAAAGAATATTTGCCTCCAGAGCAAGAGACAGAGTACGCTATGCAGACAGTGGTTGAGAATGTCGAATGCGAGGATGCGAGGTACGCCGAACAGCCGGCTCTACTTATCTCAGAAGAATTTCCGCGGTTTACAGAAGTATTCTTTTTGGGGAATGTCAACTACGGATGCCCTGCTTGTGTGGTAGGACACTCGAAGAAATCGCTTGCGGTCCAATTGGTATAAACTATAATTTCTTTGATGTTCCATTTGAGAATTACATGTAGCAGTTAGCCATACTTAACATTATTGATTAACCTATCAGGCTGCCACAGTTCGTTCTGGAGATGATCTTTTATTTGGCTTGGAAGTAGCTAATCAGTTTCGCCAACGAATTCGATATCATCATTCGTACAACGTGGCGAAAAAAGTTGGCATAGTTGGACTGGCACTGAGCAAGCTAACATCAAGCTTGCATGTGATCGGTGAACAGCATCATCGTGTCAATCTGGGTCTGAACTTGAAGTTTGAGGCGAAGAAGCAGAAGGTTCTGGGTTATACACAGAAGGCAGCAGAGGGTGGATGGGACTATAGTGATAAAGCAATTGAATTGGTAGCAGAATACAAGGTCCGTGTGTTGTGTGTTCAGATACTTGTTACAGGACGATTTGATGATTTTACTAACTTTGGCAATTATCTTACATTAGAGAAAGTTTCCAGAATTTATTGCAGCCCTAGAAAGTAAACAAAAAGATGGTAAATATTTGGCAATACATCTATTTGTCTCGCTTATCTTTTTAATAGTCGCAATATACTATTGTTGCCATTCCAGATATTTATCGTGCGGAAGATTTCTATCCTCGAGAGATTGCATCAGCGAAGATACAGGAAATTAAGTCATGGTTGAACACAGTTGAAGTCAGCGACCTCGAAAGGGTATCGCTTGAGGCGGAGCAGTTGGATAAGGAGGCAATAGCAGAGATTGAAAAGCGTGCAGAACAGTTTGTATGCCACGAAAATGATTTCAAGAAAGTTGTAGTCAAGAATATTCCACGACAGGTATAAAATATAATAGTATATGTAAAACATAAATATAGCTGATTTTATTGTGGAACTCATCTTTCGGAGCCTGTATTGTAATTACATTTCGCGCTAAGACATGTTTTATTTTCCAAACTCAATATAAGGCTTTGCTCAAACCATCACAAGCCGCCAATCGCCTGCAGGATCAAGTATTCCGTCTGGGTGATCGAGTTGTGCATGTGCAAGATTCGGGAAGTGCACCTATTGCAGCTAAGGGTATTGTCATTGGGATTGATTCTAATAACATCGATGTTGTATTTGATGTTTCTTTCATAAGCGGAACTACGCTAGGCGACAGGTGAGTGCAATTGGTATTAAACTTTTTTTTAAAACTAATTAACTTCATGCTTATATCCCTCACGTTCAATAGATGTTCGCCGTATCGTGGTATGACGGTGCTCAACTCTTCTTTGTTAAATCTTTCATATCGTCAATATGGACCCAAGTATGGACGACAAGCTGATCATCGGAATCACGCAGGAGCAAAATATTCTGATGTTGGAAGAGCTCAATCCAATATGAACCATTCGCGCGGCAATAATGCTATACATGGTCGTGGCAACAATCAAGTAGCTACAGCCTCTCGTGCACGCGGAGCTGCAGCCGGTAGCATGAACGGACGTGGATCCGTCAACGGGCATGCACATTCAAAGTCTTCTGCCGACGGTGGATTTGGTCGGTCCCGGCCATATGGTCAGCAAGGTAATTTCAGATATGGGAATGGACACGCTGGGCATTTCCATGATCAATTTGGCCATCGCGGTGGATATGGGGGTTCACGTAGTAATGTTCCAGGATTTGTTCCGGGTGGGCGTGGTGCTTCTGGACACAACCAGAGGGGGAATGGTCGAGGTGGAGCGTTCCCTAATACTGCGTCACATCGTGGTGGAAGGGGACGAAGTTGATTTGATAGCGAAAGATGTGATATTTGTGGGTAGCAGTACTTTATTTACTCTGGCTCATAGACAAGTTTGGTCTCTAATGTGTAATATAACCTGCAATAATTTGTTTATATCAATCGAATTGCATTTCTTAAGTTATTATTCTATATACGCTTTATCATGTAATTTTGATCCCTGTTCCATAGTTTTCCCTTTCAAACGAGTTGATTAGTTGAAATGTTGATAGAGATAGTCGACGTGTAAATGGAGATAAACAAACAATACTTGGGAAATGCATTACAACCCAATTGGGTATTGTCTAGACGCCAAATAAAATGACAGTGGAGATGAGCAATATCCCATGCTTCCCCCTTTCCCCCTTTCCTCTCTTTGTCTATTTTAACAATAACATGTAAGGGCTTAAAACAATATTCAACAATTCGATACGCCTGATAGAGGCAAGGTACTAACTTTCACATATTCAGCCGAATTTATATCACAATAGGATGGGAATAAAAGTCCCCTATTAGATCAACATTCTTGCAATATCGAAAACACCTAGTTAGCACCAATTAAATGAATTATTTATTCTTAAAGAGTTGACGAAACCATTTTTATTGATGCATCGGAATATTGAGACGAGCTCAAGGTAATCAAAAGAACGTTCGAATTAAGGGGAAAGCATATTGGTTTCAAGATTTCGTCTTCACATTTTCTTGTGAGAATCAACAGAGTCGTCAGAGTCAACAACATTGTTAAAGAAGAGGAAAAATAGTGTAGTTCATAAATATAATTGTATTAAGGCTGTTCCGCTTTTGTCTAAAGTTTCCCTTACGATACCTCGTGATTCTATTTGCCAATGAGGTTCGTAACATTTTTTATTTTATTTTATTAATACTAATACTACTATTACACTAATACTAATGTTAATATGCTATATTGAGACCTTGTGCCAAGCAGTAGAGAGGGGTATACTCATTGAACGTAACTTTCTGATTTAGTTTGACAGATTTAACATTTGAAATCTGGAATAAACCAGTTTGCCATCAGTCAGACCGGGCGTTGGCATTACTTTTCTCCGATAGGTTTGACGATCGTACGTTACACTTACGACATGTGAGAATGCTCTTATACTACTATTACTATACTAAATATTCGGACACTTGACTCAAACGTTAATTATTGCACAAGGCAGATAGATAATCACAATTGCAACATCTGTCAATCTGAACTTTTTATTGTAATATAAACATCATTGATATTTGATGTCGATTTACATCTGTAAAATAAAAAAAAAAGATTAAAGAGAAAAGAAAAAAGAAAATAAAAGAAAATAAAAAAGGGGGAAGTGCCGGATGAGGAAGCCGAAACTTTCGTCATCTGGTTAAAATAATAAAGAGACCCATTGTCCTCGCAACTCGAAGCGCCTGTCAAAAACGCTTGTCTCAATATGTAGAAGTCCGATCGTAATAAAATGTCTTTTTTATGCACAATGCAACAAGCAATTGGGGAAATATACAAACGTGAGTTGAGAAATAAAAAGATATCGAAAGCAAACAATAAAAAAAATAATTAGAATTAAAAAACCAAGCATATTAATAAATGTTCTTTTTGTGCGATCGGACGATGGAAAACGTAACTGCCAGACTTTCTGGTGTTGGAAATATTACTGAGATTTGTAGTTTTTTTTTGTAATTGTATAAAATAGAAACCTGAAAAGAAATCAAGTAAATAGAGAGAAATATCTGAACAGTCGATATATGCAAAGTAGAATATATATATATATATATATCTCACAGGCTAACAATTTGCCCATTGAATAATAAAAACCCCTCCCCCAATCCAACCCCCCCCCTCTCTCTCTCCCCTCCCCCAAAATAACCCTTTTTTTTTTGTTTATATTATTTCCCAATTCCCTAAAGAGGCCTTTTCCTCCGGTATTCCCTAACAGATCCCTCTCTATGACCCATGCCTTATCGAGTCAAATTGGTGAAACAGGGTAACCTCCTGCGCCGTCCACATTCTTGTATGCCATTCCCCGAGAAATACGCATCTGTGAACGCCCGCAACGACGCATTCGATGAATGAGGCATCAGATTCTTCTCGTTGTGAATGAAGCAACATCGACGGCCATATGGACAAGCACCTTTCTCCCAGAAAGTCTTGCAGATTTCTGTCTTGTACTTGGGATGCTTCTTTACTTCACGCAACTCTGTGGAAGAATGTGCAAATTGACACTTGACACCATATCTAAATGATTACATAATACAAAATTTAATAATCTCAATGCATATATGTACTGCATAGTATCGTATCAGACAAAAACTTACCGACAATCCCCTTTTTCTTCCCAATTCCTACACATTTCAGTCTTGTACAATGTGGCTTTCTTCTGTTCCTTTTCTATCTCGGCAGAAGATTTGTCTTGTATGATCTTGTTCCGAGCAACGTTGATAACAACATTATTCTCAACCGTATTAATATTCTTTTTATCTGTCATAGGCGCATTATTTATTTGATAGTTCTTGCCAGCATCGTCTCTAATATGCCCACGCTGAGTTGCGTTGTTCCCCAGATTGCTACCCCTTCTCGATTTAGCCATCGAGGGCTGGCTATTCGGTTGGGGTGCATTGAGAGGCTGCATCGGCGGGATTCTGTTATTATCATCTCTACATGTTACGAAAGGAGTTGTCCAAGTATCTACAAATGGTTTACTCGGCATCGGTAGCGGAACAGCGTTGCATGTCGGATGCTGCTTTGCTGAAAGATCACTCGTCGTACGAGAAGACCACATGGATGGGACGTCGTTGGAAATGGGTTGTTTATCAGATGGCGTTGGTGTAGAGTCAGACTGTGATCCATTCTGCCATCGCTGGGAATAGGGCGCTTTATACGTCGCATTAGCGGCCGCGTCGACAATGTTCTGCGAGTTGTGAGCAACAGGGTAAAAAAAGTTGCAGGAAAGGTCTAAACTCTCGGTAGGTGATCGTACTGGGATATCCACGTATTCTGAGGGTGGTTGAGGAATTTTAGGTGAGTTGAAATGCAGAGGCGATTCAAATTTTGTGTATTGATGTTCAGCCGCCTTGAATTTATTTTTAATTTCTTGCCAGTTGTCAAGGCGACTATGGTTTCCATGCAGCAAAGCCTGTTGATTACAAATTGTACCTGTAGATCCTTGATTTGTTCCGTTCGGGACGGGCACGTGCGGTATATCGGTTAAATAGTTTATCTGATGATTATTGTGCGCAAGCGAAACGCCAATTGGTTTTCCTTTAGGATCGCGTGCAGGAACTACCCAGGTCGGTAAGTTTTCCGCTATCATCGACACTAGTGTTGAATCGATCTCTTTGCATTCTGGGTTGTCTCTTCGTGTCAGTGCGTCTGGTGACATGGATTCGTTCAATTTCTGCTGAAGTCTGTTCATTGTTTTTCTAGCCAGTGGAGTTGGATCTGATAATGCTTTCTTTCGGGGCGACATTAGTTTCTTCCGTGGTGACATGGGTTCTGTGATGTCATCAACAAGTCGGCAAGACGCACACACATCTGATGGCTTGCACGTACACATGTCCTCTTCTGTGTATGAGGAGCGAGTGCTGGCGGGCGATAAGAGACTGGGATAACCGTAAATGTCTTTTCTATAAGACGTCAAACCGAATTCCTCTTCACTATCTTCCGATACCGAGGAAGATCTGGTGCTGATAGGCGGGGAAGGCATATCGATAATTGTCGTCATGGTGATGAGATAGCAACTTGTAGTACGGTCTGTAAATGCGATAGAGAACGTGGGAATAAGCAGAGAAAATGTCAGTACCGGTTTGTAGAAGTAATATCACGTGATTGTTTTGAATAAAGTTTTGAAATGGACGCTCTTGTATATTGATGGGGGATATTAATTACTACAAGTCTACTAATACTACTTGAGCAATGATAAAACAGTGAATGACGCGAGAATTTGAGAGAGAAGCAAGACCGAGTATGTTGAGGGATCGAGTATTTGGACGGTTGGTTTGTTGGTGTTTACAACGTAAGCAGTGATCGCATCGGTTGCAGGCATTCGATTGATGCAGAGGGTTGTAATGGTGATGTTGTGATCAGGTATTAGACAATCAATAATGGGAAAGGGTAAGGAAGAAGGACGATTGCGAGTGGGTAAGGTGAAGAATGAGCGCGTTGCGCAGTATGGTTAGAGAAGGGGGTAGTGGTATGAGTGATATGAGTGATATGAGTGGTATGAGCGGTATGAGCAGTATGTGTAGTGTATGTGTAGTTTATTCGCGGTCTATTTGTTAAATGTGTATGAGAAGTATGTGTACGTGTGTACGTGTTTATGTTTTGATATTCGCGAAGGAAAGAAGGATTTCAACAGGGTAGGGTTCGCTATGTTGATTCGTTCTGTTTCCAAACGTGTCAGCGATGGATTTGTTGTCGTGTTTTGGTATTGGTGGTGTCGTTGTAGAGTCGCAGTTGCTTGGGGTTGTCTCGGCTTGTCTTTGCTCTCTTCGTGTCTTTCTCGAGTGGGGAATGATATATGGAAAGTATTGATTATGATTGATAGTATTCTCTCTCTACGTACCTTAGGATACTAGTGATGAGGTTTTTCGATTGAGGATGTGGGAGCGCAGATTTAAAGGAAAATTTTGGGGGGGGGGGGGTGGATAAATAAGGGTGTGCTATGAGGTACTCATGACTATATAGTCATATTTCTTCGGCAACTTAATATAGTTAATTGATAGTATAAATAATGATTATTGTTTGTAATATAATATATGTTTGAGTATAAAGTATATTTATTTACAACAGCGATCTGTAGTTAATTGTTTTTTGATATGCAGGCAGATTTTCACTCCAATTGTTGGGTTTTGGTATACAGTCATCTATTATGTCTATTATTGCATAGAATTGCACGATTATTGTCAGTTTATGTGACTTGTATACGACCATTCGCCTTTATTCTTCCATTTCTACCATTGCTTGCCATTGCAAGTATGAAAGCCCATTGTGCCGTTATAGGTTCAATATGGCAAGTCCCCTTCCCCCAATTGTGTGTTGACATTATGTATAAATAAATCCTCTAATGATTCAGCCTACCTACAAACACAATAGTGAAAAAAATACGAAAAATTTTCGGGGGGCTCGAGTCTTTGTTTATGATGTGAAAGAGAAACGAGTTAGTGCATGAGTTAGTGTAAAAATAAGACTGCTTTGGGAATGAGGATATTCAGTGAGAACTCTGAGGATAGACCAAAGAACGTGAACAGTCTAGATGTGAATGGATAAGCGGGATGAGCTAATATGCTAAGAGTTAGATTAATCCGTTGTGACTGTTATGACTGGATAGCATAACCGTGATCAGTGCTTTAAAATTGTAATCCATGTGATTCATATTTTTTAACATTCAGTATGCCTACAATAATATATAATACTTTATGACTCCCCGCCAACCGAATACCGAATAGCTCGTTATAAACTCTATTCAACAAAGCGTAAAGAGAAAGACCCGTCTTCTATGGTGACAGATAATGAATGCATCATGGATACAAACATTAAAGCGAAACAATTATATAGTCATCAATAACATCGTTCATATTTTAATTATATTTAATTTATCGAGTACCCAATATATTAACTATTTTGGTCAAGATTGTCCACATCTCGTGTGTCCTGTTATGGTTGCATTTATGGAATTAACGCACGAGTTTTGGGTCAAATTAGTTTCATTGCCCATCCCCATCAATATTAAATATATTCTAGATGGTTACCGTATTTTACTTTTTATATTACAACCACTAATTTTTCTTCCCATATAACACATGACTTGTATATGTCAAATAAGAATGGCTTTGGGATCAGACAATAGCAATGTCAGGTGGTCAGCATTAATAAGGATAGATTGTCCGATAGGGGTGTTGTAGTATGGTATGGTATGATATGGTAGGGTATGTTATTGTGTGTTTGTGAGAGTGAGAGGGACAGAGAGGAGAAAAAAGAGAGACAGACAGAGAAGGAAGAAAAAGGCAGAGATAGAATGGGGGAAAAAACAAAAGAAAAGATAAATCTATTATCAATGGAAAACGTATGTACTGCTGTATTCGTCAAGCCAGAATCTGATTCAATTGACATCATCCAATCAGTTGCATCAACATACTGTCAATTGCATAATAGTAAACTAAATGGAGTTTGGAACACACAATACAATCATATACAATGCCCTATATTTAACAGTATATTTTACTGCATTCCACCCAATCAAAATACACACATGACGATTTATGCAGTTTGTGTACTGAAGAACGGAAGAAGAAAAAAAAAAGAAGGAAGCTCCTTTACTTGTGGCCTACAAACGAACAAGCAAAGATGCGATCAAACAACAAACACATGCGCAAGTGCAATAATAGTAGGAATAGTAGGAATAGTAGTAATATTAGTGGTAATAAGCAATATTAGCGGTAGGATAATAGTGGTAGCTGTTGTGCTGTGTGTTGTGGTGTTGTGTTGTTGTTGTGTTGTGTGTTGTGTTCTCTTTGTTAATTAATGAGCTTTAACCTACTAATGTAACACTATACTAAAGAGCATACACCTCCCGATGCGTACACTCCGACTGGTAACACTCCAATTGATCATATCAAACCATCGTAGATATCAATAATCATACCAAATATGATCTGAACACGTGAGTACTAGTCGTGTATTGATGCTCCGTGGTAGAAAACGTAAATAAACGGTGCAAGCGTTCAATAATGGTAACTAATCAACATACACAGGTAATCAATAGCATTTAGACAGCATGTTAATGGACAGCAGAACAAGTGGCTATTAATAGAAGCTGTCAAAATATGTTAAACGATTAACCGAATTAATATTAGACCAGAACGTCTATAACAACAATAAATAGCAAAGACTATAGTGAATAACAACAACGACTATGGAAACATCAACACCCAGCAATGGCAACACTAATAATACTAATACCAACACCAAGCTTTCTGCATAGCCGTTTCTGTCGTACACCATCTACAAACAATCTCCCCAAACTTTTCTTGCACACCCCCCAATCCAACCAACTCGAGATCATCCCTCGTGCACTCGATCTTATTCTCGTAGCACAATGCTAAGACTCTAATCAGCTCTCACGCGACTTTCACACGAAAAAGAACAATTCCTGATATGCAAAGATAGAGAATGTTGGGTTGACGTACGAAAAACAAGTGTCAATCTAAAGCCAATAGAAATAAAATAAGGCGAAATAACGGCAACGAGGAAACAGTGATTGTTACAAGATCCTAAGCGAGCGAAAGCTACTACGAACAAGGGTGGTTTACCGTGGTCGTGATGTCAATGTAATTAACAATTACATAAGCAATCGCTATTGGCAGTTATCGTGTCATTATCTCAGATATCAACTGATAAAACTCGTACTCGGAAAGATTGTATTTAATATGTGACAATACATAACACACGTTTAGTTAATTAACAAATAAATACTCTTAATATTTCATTATACACGTTTAGTATCATTTATACGTAACACGTTTTCATCAAGGGGGACGATACCGATAATACCGATAATATTGATAATCAACCTTTTTCTCGAATTGCTTCTCGTTCTCATCCTATATTGGCCATATTACATGTATTGCTCGTCACAACAAAGTAGGTAACCATCCACGCGGGAATACCCTCAAGATCGCCTACCAAATATAGTATGAGCCAACGTTGTTATTGATGTACAATGTCATGTAGCCTCGATTACCTATCATTGGGAAAAACTTTAATTGTCCTCGCACAAAAAAAAAACGGAAAAAAAAAAAAAAAGACAAACCGACCGATATATTACAAACAATAACAAATACCCAAATAACAATGGATTTTAATGACAATGTTACCCAAAATCTATGACAGAGATAATCATTCTTCGAGCAATATACTATTGATATATATGTATATACATGAGACAAATGAAAGCAACCTAAAATCGCGTCTCACCAATCAATCCGTTTGTGCTCGCAATTCATTCCCACCCACGTTCCATTCATTTCATACTCTTGGCATTCAATTCAATCCAGGCCCTCTGCTGCAGTTTATTTCGGTTAAGCGTCTTCGTGAACGGCACATATTGTAGAACATGGAAAACTTCTACTTTTAGTCAACCACGTTATTCTTGTAAAACAATTGATAAACGTTTTGAGGTTTTCCGAACTGGAAAACTCTGAATAGCAAATAGAGTAAGTACACTAATCGTAACAATGAAATACAATAATCTATACTCTTACCCTATATATTACGGCTTACATATTTATCAATTGTATCCGGTTATAGCGTGCAGTCAATGTGACTTATCACGAATGATGAGTCAGGGAATAAAGAATCAGAAAAGGCAATCAAAGATCACGATGCAAGGTGTGTTTGCAGATGTGATAGCACCAGTAACCTATCGTTGAGACGAGCAATACTGTGATGCTCAATCTTTTATCACTCAATATCCCCTCTCCCTCCTTTTCTTCTCTTCTTGCTCTCTCGCATGAAAGGATTGCATTCTTTATGTGCAGATTTAACATTGACACTTGGAAACAAAGTGATCGTAATAAGCAAATCAGAAACCTTATTATTACATACAAATATAATAAAAATACTACGAGGGGAGAGAACGACAAAAGAAATACATAGAAATACTACATAAACAAGATTTACTGTATAGAATTATAAACATTAGAGATATTTATATATTAATTCCATATTCAATTGGCCAATTGTAAAGCGGATTATTCAAGAGTAAGGAGAATGTTGTATCTTGTATCTTGTATCTTTACGTTAATTAATCCAATTGCTACCTTTGAATGACGCTATCTATCTACATACGAATATCTAGAGCTCCCCGGCTCATTTAGCAGTCATGTCTGAAATGACTCTCTGCAGATTGAGCGACTCATCCGACCGGGCGTTTCCAAGCTACGATAACAAAATATGGATTAAAGTCAACATTACGTCACCTGTACATCATGATCTATTAACTCTCGGACCCCTCTAATTCCAACACTAACCTCTCCAACATCGTAAACATGCACTCTAGCGTCCGAAGACCCAATGGCGACCTTCCTTCCGTCTTTGTCCCACTGAATCTTATTCAAAGCCTTTCCGCTCCCAACCGCTACTCCCACAATGGGGACTTCAGTATCAATGTTTAGATTCCACAAGCTAAACTTGCCGGTTCCATCAACACTCGCAAATAGAGCAGGGTGTCTCGGTGACCACTTAACATCATAGACGTAATCATCAGCACCCTCGAACGAATGTATGGGTGAGATTGTCTGTTGCGCGGTTGCGGTTTTGGCGCTTGATTTGGCACGCCAGAGTTTGACCGTCCAGTCGACGCTAGAAGTGAGGAAGAGATCAGAGAAATCAACCGGACCAACGAGCGGATGAAATTGAAGTCCTGTTACTGGTCCCCAATGACCCTTATAGAAATCATATGGATTTATTCCAGCCTTGCTATTGGTTGCAAAAATGAAAATTTAAAGTTTTTTAGACTTAAATTTTAAGATCAAATTGACTAAGAATAAACGATTAACCTTAGTCAGGTAATAAGTAATAAAGTTAGTCATCATAAACATTAGTTCGATTATCATTGGTCAGGTTGTTATTAAAAAGACTTAAATTCAGTCTTAAATAGCATGCTGGCCGAATTATCAAACAAATTATCTGAAACAAATTATCCAAATTATCGCACAAATTATCTGACAAATTATCCAACGAAACTAATCTCCAAAGTCCCATATACTAATTTGCTAAATGAAGACTAACCTGCCAGCCCTATCAAACCGATTAGCTTGATATACATTTCCCTCTTCCGTTCCGACCCAGAATGCTGTCGTCTCGTTATCGGGGAATCCAAGCGCCGTAACAGAGACTTCATCGGTCTTGTTATGGTTTGGATGCACCAACTCCAAAGTTTCTTGCGGTTGAGCAAGCATGTCCAACTGCCACGAACACACTAACCCATCGGTAGAAGCCGTTATAAGGTTATGTGCATTTTGAGTTCCAACCACCTGCATCGAATACACTGGGTGTGTATGACCGTTGGAAGAAAGTGGTGTCTTAAGGACAGGGAGGGATCTTGCTCGGGTATCCCAGATGACCACTTGTCCTGAGTAAGTACCGCCAATAACAAGATTATGATGGAATGGAGAGAACATCGTCGTTAAGACGTCAGACTATATTGAATGATTTAGTTGGACGCTAGTAAGCGATGTTGTCAGATTTGATGAACAACCAAACATCAAATTCTACATCCTTTTGCTAATACAATCAAATTGAAAGTACCTGTGAGTGAAACGTGTACTCTGGTCTATCCAATAAATGCAAATTCCAGACAAGAACTAGACCGTCTGGTTCGTTAGTTGCTATCGAATTTTTGTTATAGGATGCGACACAGAGTTCCGGGAACTATACGACGCGCATAGGATACGGAATAAGAGTATAAAAGAACAGCATCCGTATAAAGTGTCAGTATCTATCCTCCACATCAAATCCGTATTATTCCAATAAATATATAATGCTCGATTTATAACCTTATGAGACCAATTAACATCCGTAACAGATCGTGTTGCCCTCGATTTATTCCATCGATCGTCAAAGAAAGAGCAGATATACTTCACTCTGTTGCCAGTTTCCCCACTAGTAAATACGACATGATAAAGACATATTGTCAATAAGCTTTGTCAACCTTTGTTGGGTCGACTTGTATGTCCAAACAAACAATGAATATATATGTCTTACGCGTCTTCGTCCTGAGTAGAGTAATCTTTCATGAAATTATATTCATCATTAAGAGCACGTTCAATAATCTTCGTAGAATGTTCGACAAATTCCACAAACTCGGATGATTGTACTATTTTCTTTCTTTGTTCTTCACTGAGATCTAAAAAAAAACACGATAGAATGTTATAACATTTTCGGAAAGTAAATGCATAATATTCGTATCATACCTCTAGCTCTAGCTGCCCTCTCCCTCGCAGCCTCAGCCCTCGCATTCTCCTCTTCAAGCTGCTCCCGTCGTTGTTGTTCTTTTTTCTCAAGCTCCTTTTCTATCTTCTCCCGAATCTCTTTCTCCGATGGCGGCGGAGGGTCGGTCGAAGATTCAACTGTTTGGACTTTTTTGTCGTAGAAGACTACTTCCTTTATATCGTAATCAAAAGTCAGATTGTAACGTTGCTAATATACGAAGACAACGTTCACAAATGACTATACCTTTGGAGCAATGTCAAGCAATACAGACTCAAACGTGGAGAGTTCTGGTATGAACCGCGATCCGCTGCTAGGTACTTGCGGACTATGAAATTGAAAGAAATCAGATCAATATGCTAATATTATAGGATCAGAAATAGCAATCAATCATACGCAAACTGTTTAATCGTCACTAATATGAATAATCCAGCTCCATATTTATATATCTCTTTCTCTGACCATTACTCCAACACTGCCACAAACCTTTGTGGGACGCTAGTGAGACCGCCTCCGACCCCATTAGATCCTTGTCTAGCCACACCGGTTAAAATTAATTTACTTAGTCCTGCTATGCGCGTCTCCCTGTCACTCCCGGCCCTGTCACTCCCAGCCCTGTCACTCCCAGCACTATCAGACTCTCCGACTAAGGCATTCGCTGAAGGAATGACCGAACGCTTGTCATCCTTTTTATCGTTAAGGAGATTATCAACAAGGTCGTGAATGTCTTCGGGTTGCCCGCGGTTAGTTGAGAGCTAGCAGTTGGATAGATGAATTAATAGAGATTAGTAGTTGACGATAGAGATAGCTAACGTTGTTCGTGTTGTATTATGGAGATAAATAAACGATTTCGAGCAATCGGAAAGTGCGTAATAGCTGAGGTTAATTTACGACAAGGACCGCTTTACTTTCGTATAATCGATATAAAGCTTAACATGTTTCAGTGGTACTTCATCCAATAACTTTTTTTTTTCATTCTCGGCTAACTGATAACAATCTCTAATACGCTCATTATTATTGAATTAAAGCTGCTCTCTTACTGTTTCTTGTTGCGTAGCGAGGGCCCTCTGCCTGTCTTCCCTCACTTTACGTAGTTCAATCAATTTTGCTCGCTTCTTAGCTAACTCTTCCTTTCTTCGGTCCATTTCTTATAACTTTCGTGATTATATATTGCGAGTGCTGTTTATTGAAGTAATTTGAGGCTGAGAAATAGTTTTCAATCAACTTGCATAACATTCTACCCACATACTCACGTATTTATTATTTTAGTATCGTTTCAAGTTTCGAAAAACGTAAATAAGAGACTGTGATATTTATGGTAAAAGTTATATTACCCTACACGTGATTATTTATTGTGACAGCTATATTGAGTTTTGATTGTGTGACATGTGAACATAGTAATAGACAGGTTACAACCGGTTTGATGTACGGCGGGGAATGAGTGAATAGAGGAAAGATAAGAGTATCGTATGCAATAATCGTCATAGCGCCTGCAGCCTTATATTAATAGGGCATACAGTGACAGCGAAGATCTAACATTGAAATTTACGCAGTTTCTATATAGTAATTATTATTAGTCGAAATATTATGTCACAGTAACAGCTGCTATTACCTCATTTGGTATATGTAAATTGAGTGACGAAAGTACATGTGTGTAACGACACGAAGATCAAAGACATAGAACGTGTCTCAACAGTGAATGGTATACAATTACCAGAAGACACTAGCATAATTTGGAAATCGAATGAGTATGTTAATTATAAAAAGCATGGTTTTAATCCAATGTAATCCAATGTTGCAGCTGATGCTGTTTGATCGACGAATCAACTGTTTCAGAATCTGTATCCGTGAACATGCAAAATAACACGACCCGCACGTATACGTGTATTTCGTCTTGGAAAACCCAATTATAAAATCTACGATTTATTCCATAAAAAAAGCAAACAAACGCTTTTCAAGCGATAAAAAGGACAATTGGATCAAGATACCAGCTGCTCATCGAGCGAAAATACTCATCAATGGTTTGGGTCCGAGTATTTCCTCCCATGAATCGCTCTAGTGAATATGCAAATGTGTTTGTAAAGAGTAACAAGAAGACATCGACAAATTAAGTGTCGCATATGGCTCCCCAAGATTTTATGCATCTAACAAGGGAGCGCAGCAAGATAAAGCGCACGCTACACGTTCATAACTTGAGAAAAAGTAAATACGTCTTTGATTACATAAAAGAGACCCAAACGCCTATGAACAAGCCACAGAAGCTTACAAGGTTGTTGGGAGGATAGTTAGAAGGTTATCAACGCTATTGCACGAGAGGCAATTGGGGTGTTATTAGTTGGGGCAAAGCTGCATCGTAGCAGAGTTAGGTTTATACGTAAAGGAGACAAGAAGCAGTATGTAACGACGGAGGATGATAGTTCGAATGCTGTTATAATACGAAATGCTTATTGCAAAGCTTATTCGTGTTGCTAACTTGTTGCTTTCTGTCCTGTTAGCAACGAGCAGTTCACACTTTCCGGCCAACACGGGTTTATTCTTGTGTCTATATATGCTACTCCTAAACAACACAAAGACTAACAGTCGCTTTTTTTTTTCTCGATAAAGCTTTCAAGGACCCGGCAATTTTTGAGGTGGAAGTTGACACGTTATGCTAAGCTTGAGCAACCCAATCAATAGCATCTTTGACTTCAGCATGGGGGTAAGATAAGATTTATGGATGCTGCTTCATCAAGGCATCAATTCGAGATTGACAGAATATTTGTAGTAATGAGCCTAACATAATAAGTTAGAGTGAGTTTATGGATAAAGAATGATTTATAATTTCGAAAATAGTAAAATTTATAAATAATTCCGGCATTGCATGGTTGCAAGTAAGTGGGCCGTAGTATTAGGAGGAAGATAATGTTAGACATTTGTAGAGTGAGTGAGCAAAAGAACATTTCGTTTCTGTCGTTGCATGAGAGAATTTATTCTGTTACGATAACGGTTAAGAATGCCAAAACGTGTAGCAAACTCACGGGCCTTTTCAATTATGATGTGCCCAGACTGTTCTTTACCGCATTCTCCACCATATCACTAGAGCTTTTTCTAGAATTGGAAATTTGGGTAGTTTATGTCACTTAATTTTTGCTCTTGGGGAGGTCACATCCAATTATAACTGTTTGTCCTTTTCATTGACAATTAAAGTTACTGTAGCAGGACTAATTGAAATTTCTCTGCAAGTTCTTGATTTTGGTATAATAATATTATTAAGGGCCCTGGTACAGAGCATTGTCAGCAATTATTAATATGTCATCTATAAAATAGTCTTTATAATTTAGTTACACAGTCAAAATGTATATAATAATATACAATATGCAAATTAAACCTTTGTTAATATCAAAAAAATAATAATCAAATATTCAGTACTGCTGGTATACTGTAGCAAGTTGATGTAGGCATTACTTATGTGTAAACATATTTCTATATGCTCATCCATTAGTAGTTATTTGAATTTGGCAATTCTTTTGAATAATATCAGGGGGAAAAATGAAATGAAAAATTGTAACCCAGATGTGATGATGGTGTAAGGCAATCGTGACAGTCTATCATAAATAAGTATTTGTTACTTTGCCATACTTTGTCCCGAATATATTTTTACATGTGTCAGAACAATGACCGGTGACTTCTTGTTTGTATTATGGCAATGCAAATAAAATAAGCCAATATGCATTAAGAAAAATCACATGACTCTGATAATTCTCTGAAGGAACGGCTTTTATAATACGCTTTATCCCATACACATAAAGAAAAATTATGTGATTCCCTGAACTTGGTTCAGAAAAGTATTTTTTTTTGTCAGATATGATATCTTAATTTATCCTAAAATATATCGTTGAGGGATCTATGAATTAATGCCAGAGACAAACCCAAAATTGGCCAGTGTGCCTGACATCTTTATTATTCAATAATTACCAGCTGTTACAGATAATGGCGTTCAAACTCCTGTGATTATGAGAAAAAAAATAATCGCCAGGTCATGAATGAAGTTCATGCAAGATGTAAATTACAATGTGCAGATTAATGCAAATAAGACATTGCGCTATGAGGTCGAGGATCTGAAGATGCAGATACAAGAGACGGGAAAAAAGCTGGCATCTATAAAATCATATTTTACTCTTGTGAATATAAAATTATGAGTTAGCCAGAGCACTTTTTTCCTTGTGCTTCTGTTTTGTCTCTATCTCCTTCTGCAGTGTCAAACCTTAGCTGAATTGTAAGAGAACCATCTTTGGGCTTATCTAGGTCAAATACAATAAATTCACCTTTGTGCAGAAGTGGGTTTAAAATGATTATTTAAACCCACTTAGTTTAAGTTATTATTATACTAATACCCCTCATTTAGGTTATACCCACTCAGCGACGATGAGTGTCGTCATTCGAGTGACGACAAGATCGCATTTGCATCGTCATTTGCCGAGGAAGTCAGCTGAGGGAGTTAGCCGCCCCGCTCAGTGACGATGAGTTTGCATTTGCGTCATTGCAGAAGTTAGCCTGCAACAATTGAATAAAAAGTCTTTATGAAAATCCACACGTTTGAAAATATCAACTGAGTAGACATGAGCATGTATTCAAGATATCATAAAAAAATGGGCAAACCGAATTCAAAATTTGAAATCACCGGAATCGTGGTTACGATTCGCAAATATCATCCAAATATATACGTCTACGTATATTAACGCCTGGATATGATAAGGATGATTGGCAAATTTTTGTATTCCGTATTAAAAACAATCTAACGGAAATGAATGTATAGGTTATAACTCTAAATCTCTCAAATTTAGAATAAAAGTGGTATACTTTGTAACTTTGTATTAAAAAAAATCGTGCAGCAACTATTCACGAATATCCAAAATCTTCAGACGGACAAAACCGCTCTACAAACCACAATCGTTGACAGTAAGAATTTTACGCGCGGAGCGAGTGCTCTTTGGACATGAGCTTTGCGAGAATTACTATTATTATACTAACAACTGGTAGAAACTGAGTTTTCCTACAAACATCACTCAGCAGTACTACCAAATAATTTATATATCTTGTTCATAATTTTAGACCGATTCAGAATACATCGCACTCAAATTCGATTGGAATATCATGATATACTAACATATCGATATCTAATAGTCTTATGCTATCATTGTCACGCTTTTTGAGCAGACGCAAGTTAATTCATAAATATTAGCCATGCCAGCCTCGCCAAGTATTTATTGCAAATTGCAAATAATATACCTTTTTTCTGTTTTATGTTATGAAAAGAGGATGGCTAATATTCTACAGAGATTGTATAATAAAGATAAATATAAAATTTCATAATGCGAAAAAACTTTTTGGGATAGCAATCGGCACGTTTTTTAACGTTTTAGCTGGATCAAACACCTTTTAGATATCGATAAAAAATGGTTCTAAAGGTTATAAATAATGATATTTTATTGCAAAGCGCACACGCACGTAAGATGAGACTATAATGCAAAAACCCTCATATATGATTCAAGTATTAAGAAATTATGTTTTCAATTTGAAGCTTTTTTGTAAGGATAGTAACAATCCCCGTACTTGTTACCTGGATAAATAACTCGCTGAACCATATTATTTAGTCGCCAAAAATTTACCCGACTATTCGAATTAAGACCATTATAAGATATCAAAAAAAAAGTTTACGTAATTCTTTTTTGTATGGAGTAGTAGGAATACCAAGGCGGGCTTCTTATGTTTTAAGAAATCACCCTCGTTCATATTTTTACGTTCTTTTTTCCAGTAATTTGTATTATCCCGAAATTCAAAACAACATCGGCCTTCCATTGTTCTCGCGACAATTGGGATTTTACTGTAAAAGAAGGGAGCCTTTGATAGATAATTATTTTTGAATTTGATACAATGTCAGCCGTCGCAACAAAGATTGTCAAAAAATACAATCTTATTCTAGAGATGAGCATATCCGAGCTCAGTCGGTATATTTCTGAGTTGCTTAACGAACTTACAGCTCAGATTCAGATGAGAAATTACTAAGATCGATTTTTTTTTCTACGCATTCTGTAACGTCAACTGGATTTGATATCGCGTTTATAATTTCTTGACAAAGTTCAGGTTTCACTATCTTTAGTAATTGGCGGAGAGAAATCTGAATTTAACATTTGTGATCTAAGACAGAATATGATTCTACCAGTAGAACTATGCGCAAGTGTGTTGTCATTCCGAGATGAGTCAGAGACTCGAGGTTTGCCTCTTCGTGGTTGTTCGACGTGATTTGCTCTATCAAAGGTACGACCATTGTTCCGAATTTTTTTCTAGGATAGTCAATGTTATTATTTTCGGTTATTGTATAAATTATTATGTATTTATAATGTATGTAGACATTTTGATTGAAATTCTTCCAGCACCAATTGTTCGTCGATTAATTTTTGCTGTGGTACCACTCAGATATTTAATGAGCGGAAGTAGCCGAATCATTGATTTATATAATAATTTCGCTTCAGTAACACGTCGAAAAATATGTGCTGATGTTTCTGCGTAACAGGTATCACTATAAAAAAATCGCCAAGATACATAAGGCACAGTAGTACAGAATTTTCCGACAATTTTGTTATACGAAACACTGAATCTTTCTTGCTTGACAAACGCTAACAAACATTTTCTAGAATGTGTATAAACACCTTTTTAGCTTGTTCAGACTGCATGTCTAATAACCACGCTATATGAACTCTACCCTTCGGATTACATCCATGGTGAACCAATATATTACTACAATATCTTCTGATCTTTCGAAATAATTGTTGATGCAGTGGAAGGTAACGATTGGTTTGTGCCACAAAAAAAATTCAAAAATCTAAAATTAGATTTTATGCGGAGCAGCCACATCCCATGTGTTACACACGATCGCTAATAAGGCGCAATATATTAGCATCCACAGATATCGACATTCTTCATAATTAAATATCGCTTTGGCTTCATATGTGTACCTGTTTACGACTATTATTATCCTCCTGTCAATAATATGATCGTATTTGACCTTATTATAAAACAGTAAGTCCTGTTTTCGATTTGTTCTTCAAGCCATTGGAAAACCCAAACAGACAATTAATTTTTTTAGTGGTACCACTGCGACTTTGTAGATATAATATATACAGCCAAAATAACAAGAGATGATTTGACAGCTGAAATTGAGTGGGTCGTAAAGAATATTTTTAGAACAGAATGCATAGGCTGTGCAAGCTGACGACTCAAACGCAAAGGTAAATTGTTTGATAAAAGAAACATGCAAATCCTTTCGCTTATTCGAGGCTCGAAACGATGACGATTAACAATTTCTTGCTTTTGCAGAACCTCAAGCTTCGGATATTCATAAGTTTCCGCTTGTTTACGATTTTGTAAAGTACAAAGTCTGGTCTATAGTTGTTCATCAACAACAGATTGAGGGAATGTTCAATAAATATGATATAAAAACTGACCCTAACCAGAAAACATTTTACAAGAGGCTCGAATGCAGCTTAACTGTTCCATAAATAAAATACAAGTTATGCTGAAGGAAATTCGTAGAGAAATTAGAGAAGAGAACGTGATAAACAAGAAATTTTTGGTGAGAAAGTCGCAAAGTCTATGTTAGAAACTTATGTTATCTTCAAAAAGTAACACTCCAAACAACAGTAACTTTGATATCTGATAAAATAATATAAATTTAATGCTAATTGTAGTTATTATTATACATACATTGCCCTACAATAAATCACCGGATTTCACGAAACTTACTAGTAAAACATATGAAAAGTCTTTCTTTTCTGGAAAGTCCTGTTATTAGCGCTAGCACAGCAATCGCTAGCTTGGAAATAGTACAAGTGTAATTACCAATCGAGTAAAAGTTTGGATGTACCCAGCTGCTGATCTTCACTAAACTTTATTATCAAAGTCACAAATACATAAACAATATAGCGATTTTGTATACGTTACTTTTACATATACAATCATATATTTCGCTACGGCTTCATAGCGGTAAATGTATAAAATTTATTGTTATTTTTTCGAAAAGTGCAATCAATTAACTCAAAAAACTGTTGTCATTTGCATAGCATACATGGGCAGGAGATATTTTTGAAAAGAAAGACTTTTCATATGTTTTACTAGTAAAGTTTTGTGAAATCCGGTGATTTATTGTAGGGCAGTGTATTAATTGTTTCTCTAATAAATCATATTTTCGAAATACACTATATCGTGTGACTGTTAATTCCACTAAAGAGGAGGTGACCGGCGTTTCTCAAATTCCGTATTAAGCATTTAATTACCGATCATCTGCCTGATAACAAAATAGATACGCGCATCAAATTGAAACTACGTAAACTCGATCTTCTGAACAACAAAAAAATGGACATTATTATTAGTTTATGTATATAAAACTTCTTTGTAGGAAGAGTTTTTCGATTATTTTATAACCAAGGAAAAAAAAGGCTCCTTCTGGTAAACAAGCGTGAAAGAACCTATCGTCTAAGTTTTAAGGCCATAACTTCTTGAAAAACCTTGGCGTTTTGAAGTTTATTATTTACGTCATTTCTATTGTTAAATGATCGGCAATGATCGACTTCCCTATGTTAGGATATCGTACCTTCAAATGATGGTTCTGTGCTTGCGAAACAGTTGCAACAACCAATTATATCCCGACCATCATTAATGCGATTTATTTAGAGAAACCGGACTAACTATAAATGTTGGCAGTTAAAAAATTATGGGGAAACATATCCCCATAAGACGGTGATTTTTATTGAACACATGGAAATTCTTCTTTACACTTTATAATTACCGTATTTCCTTGGCTAAAGTAACACCCCGAGCACAGCAATTTTGAGGCCTGATTTTGTAAAAGATCCGGGTACTGTTTTCGAAAAATCAACATTATCAAATAAATATCCAGGTATTATAAACAGATAATCCCATTGTAATAGCAAATTATCCATATAATAGTGTACCCTCCCATCAAAGTACCCCCCTGCTGAAGTACCCGGGGGTATTATACAAAAATAGTAAAATACCCGGGTTACTTTAGTCAAGGAAATACAGTAGTCTCTGAATAAAAATTACGCCTGACCATTTGTTTCACTATGAAACATTCATTCGCATCGATTGAAACACCGGCCTAGATAGAACTCTTTGTAATAACCACAAGGTGACAATATGTTTCAATCTTTGAATATGTCGTCTTGTTAAAAAAATAAAATTCAATATAATAACATTGACAAAACACGGGGAAATGCAGTATAATGAACCAGTATAATGAACTAGCATAACGAACCATTACCAAAGAGCGATCCAAGATACACACGCCACAAATTTCTAGCTATTCCAAGTTTGGTCAAGCACGGCCCGACATTAATTTTTGGCCGTAAACCCGAAAAAGCACATGCCATTTTCCCTGCAAACCTTGTTCATTGACAAATCCTATAAAAAGAACGCGTTGGATTTTTTCGAAAGATGCCAATTTTTATAAGAAAAAAACTCGAGTAATCACAGCACTTCAACTTTTCAACTAATCTGACACAATGCCTCTAGTATTGAAAAACTTTTGTGGTCTCAGTCTAAAGACTACAATGATTTTGTTAACAATTTCATGGGTGGTAAGTTATCCTATCGAGTCTGACATTACGTAAATACCTTCCGAACCTCGCAACCAATAAACTTTTTCATGTTGACAGGGAACCGCGATTTACTCGATTGTTGGAGGAGCCTTGTCCTATCTTAACCGTGACCAACTCGTTTCTAGAAATCCAGATTGTAAGCATTCCTGTCTTGTTCCTTTCATTGCCTTTTGTCCTATTGATGCAAACGTCATCTTTTATCAGTGCTCCTTGCCAAAGAAAACCTGGACCTTATTGGCTGTTTTATGAACTCGGGGATTTTGTTGGTCACATTTTACGGAACTTATATTCTCATATGTTCGGTAAGTTAACCAAAGAGTTCAATTGATCATATCATTATTCATGCATACCTTGTAACTCACATTCATATCATTACAGAATAACTTTAGATCTCTCAGGAAGTACACATACGGCGGCATCCTTATTTTTCTTCTCGCTTTCTTATGGGCGACCTTCAACGTTATCGTATATGTATGGTTCAAGGATGATTATCCATATTTATGCAAGAGCAAGGATGTTATTAACAACGAAACGGGCCGATGCAAATCGAGCATACAAGTCCCAATTACACTTTTTACGTGTGTCAATGGAATTTTGTCGGCGGTAAGTGATCAATTAAAGAAAAAGAGAAAAAGTTTTACAATTTTTAAGCTTTATTTATTTATTTTTTAGGCTTTCTATGTTGTATTGATAAATTCGTACGCGCAACAGTTGCGGCAAAAAGAAGACGCCATGAGAAAGGAAACACAAAGCATGGATTACCCCTCCCATGCCATTGACTTGTCGTAATTTTTGTTTCAAATAAATATATGATATGCCCATATCCCACAGTTTTTTCTTAAAGATTATGTAATTATTTATTAATTGTGGATGTTAAAGATCCGGTCCCAGGACGGATCGATTGAGATGATCCCAAAACTAGTTCATAAACAAAGCCGGCTGTATATATAGTATAGTAACATGCCCCATTGCTTTCGAATCCATCAATCATTTTATTATGCACAAAAAAACATGAATAAAACTGATTTCTCAGAATATAAGTGAGAAGTATGAGGCTAAAATAGGCATTCCCACTACTCCTTACAAAAAAAACTGCTCTTTGGCCCTCATCGAATATGCATAATCGTTATTCCCGATCTGGATAAAGCAGATTATTCATAAGTCTTTAATCTATCTAAGTAGATATCCTGGGTGAGGAGATATTGCTACATTTAACCAGTCACAGTGCAGTTTTGGGCGTCGTGGAGGCATTCGAAAGTTTTAAGTGACATTTGGCTTAAATTTTGGCTCGCTCCACTTCTCAAGATTTTCTTGCCTTAATTACTAAATACTTAAAAAGGTAGATATCCTGCGCCATAAGAATAGCCGGGAAATGTGTGCTAAAATTACATGATAGCGCTGCTTTATTCTATCAGGCCGATCAGAATGGATGATAATATTCGATATTCATTCATTATCTTTACGTATAATCTTGCTAACCAACTCTTGGCTCGTTGTTTAATTGTCCAAGTCGTTTACATTTTGTGTATATATCCGGGTAAAGGTATTTTTGTCGCCTCTTACAATAATGGGAGAAAAAAATCCAAATCATATAAATTATTTCGAGACATAACTAGAAAAATATGGCAAAAAAGAGATACGAAATGCATTAGTTCAGACTTGTATGCTGATCACAAGTTATGGTTGAAGATGACTCACGTGAGAAAGCCTCTTGTGACCAAAAGTTATTGCTTTATAGGAGATTTTACGAGGCATAGGCTTTTTTTCGGGTATCCATGCATCTTGTAAAGACTTTATGTTACCAATTTATAAAAAAGATGAGCATCATCACTATGCATTATTTGGCAAAAGATGGAGACTGCATGATTATCAGGAATTTACCTGCCAGGTCGCACAACCCGACACGTCGTACAGTCCATAATATTTCTATTTATGGAGGAGAAGCCATCTGAGTGTCCAATGAAAGGATGATATTTGAGCTTGCACGACCTGGCAGGTTGTGCGACATGGCAGGTAAATTCCCGACTATGACTGCATGCTAACTATAATCTGAAATACTTTACAGAATTTCTGGAAACCTCACTAAAAGAATTTAAAGTATCACTTGACCGCGAAAAAGACTGTAGTAAACAACCTACACACTTGAGACTTGAAACAAATAAACATCTAAAAAAGGTTTTTCCCAATGCTTGTTCAAGTAATAATATAACCAAAAATGCATCTTAGTTATATCGTCTCCTGAATTTTAAGAATAGTAGTTGAAATCAAATAACAATCCTACAACTGAGGAAAAGATGTCTGAGCTCTCGTTTTCTCTATTTTCAGAATTTCTCATTAAAATCAATATGATATAGATACCCTTATCAATCTTTTACAGCAAAAATTCACATGCTTCAAATGGAGTTAGAACAGTGGAGAGCCAAGATTGCCTTTGAAGAACACGAGAGTGTGGATGGGGGTGATTCTTAAAATATAAGAAGCCCGCCTCGGTATTCCTATTATTCCATTCAAAAAGAGTTAAACAAACTTTCTTTAGCATTTATTAAATATGTGTAATTGTTGTTTTTAGTATTAGCTTTACTAGCTCTGCTAACCCGAAGAAAATATATAGACTAGCTAAGTAGGTAATTTCTAATTGCTATATTCAACTAGTCACTTCCCTCAGGTAAATAGTATATCAGAATCACAAAGTCTCCCGGTATCATTTTTCTCTGCAGATTGACACCTTTCAGAAACATTGCTAGGAAGCCCTAATCATAACCTTGAGTCCGAACGTGGTATACGGCGTCGAATTGAACAACAGGCCTGGTGAGAGGCAATTCAAAGGGGCCTCACCCATTCCACTTATCTCTTTTATTCTCGCTTCAAATACAACTACCACTACGTATCTGCCAGCTTTTTTTAAATTTGAGTTGGTGTCATCAGTGATGATTCGTCCAAATTCGGTATAAATATCTGTTTAGAAATAAATCCTACATTACTCAATTTTCGTCTTATAAATCTGCATACTACCGCATTAAAATGCAAATAAAATAGAACTTGCATTAATCACATGTAAAATACTACATGTTCGGCAATAAAGGATAATAACTTGATTTACTGCTATACTGTTTCTAATTTTCATAACTGTCTTTTCCGAAAGAATAAATAATAAGCTTTCTATTTTCGACCAGAAATCTAACACCAGTAACAGGTCTGTTCTGACCCACTTCAGAATTGTTGTATGTGATGATCAATCAACATACTCGATTACATCACTTCATAATATATCAATGTAATAGTGAACACTCAAACAAGCGAATTTATTTATGAATAGCAAATATGAAAACATAATAGTAATAATAAAAAGAAATTTAATGTTTAACGCAGTCGGCATATGCTGAATGCACATTGTTTATTCAATCTATGACAAAAAGAAAAATACATATCCTCTATTGCGTCTTGCTCACTCTGCAGGATCAAAACTAAGGAAATGTTTATCCCTCTTTAGTTGCACATTCTCACACTCTACTCCCTACCATTTTACGTATACTCATATTCGCATAATGCACTAATCAACGTCTAATATTCCTGAAATATGATAATTACGATATTGCGTTAACGCGTGCAAATGCTACATGCATTAACAAATGG